GTTGGGAGGGCTGAGAGCTGAGGAAGGATGGAGGCCGAACAGGTGAGGAGATGATGGGAAGGGGGGAGGCAGAAGGAGCTACTCTGAACAACCAGCTGCCTCCTCCCCCTTCAGCTGGTTGTTGTGTCTCCTTTTGGGGAAGAGACAACGCCAGAAGCTCTTTTTCTTCTTTTTCTCTTTTTGTGTCTCTTCCCCTCTGAGTCTTTGTTCCTGTTCTTTCAGCTCTTTTACTTTAAACTCCATCTCTGTCTTCTGCTGCTCCGTCTCTTCCTGAAGCTTCTCCACAGCGCTGAGCTTGGACCGCCACTCTTCCTCTCTGTGCTGGTGTTCGGCCTCCTTGTCCAGCATCTCCTGCTGGATGTTGGAGACCGTCGCAGTGAGAGAGTCATTTAGGCTCTTCAGCCTTTGGACTTCATCTTTCTGGCGGTCCAGCTGATCCTTTACTTTCCCCTCCATCTCTGTCTTCTGCTGCTCTGCCTCCTCCCAGAGCTTCTCAAGAGTCCTGAGTTTAGACCGCCAGACTTCCTCTCTGTGCTGGTGTTCGGCCTCCTTGTCCAGCATCTCCTGCTGGATACTGGAGACCGTCGCAGTGAGAGAGTCGTTTAGGTCCTTCAGCCTCTGGACTTCTTCGTCTTTCTGGCGGTCCAGCTGCTCCTTCTCCACCTTTAGGCGTTTCCATCTGTTCTCCAGAACCGTCTCATTGAGCGCCAGTCTCTGATTGTCCTCCATAATCTTCATACAAGATTTTCTGGATCTTCACCCATATAGATGCTGATCAAAGTGTGGACACAGTGAAGTAAAGCGGGAGTTCACTTTATAAATGAATTGTGTTGCATCTAGGAACGCTATTTTCGTATTTGACCGCCAGGTGGCAGCAAGTACCTACGGGTGGAACAAAGTTTAAATTTGCCAAAGCCATACTCCAAAGTTTATTTTTCTAAATCTCAGCATTAACTTGTTGAGAAGACCAACTCCATGATTTTGTACAACAGAATGACAGCAGATCAATTACATTCAAGTAAGTTGGGAGACTGACCTGCGATTGGGAATCAACCCTTATAAAGCTGTTTGAGGTCACATTTTGCTGCATCTCTGCCATCAGGATACAGTGTGTGGCTCAGAGACAGCAGACTGGCAGGTTTTTGAATGACAGAGCACTGGAGGCTCTAAGATGTGTTTAGCAGATGTATGATCAGTTTGGTCTAATTCATGTCAGTCACTCAAATGCAACACATCTTCTTCTCTGGGCTGATTTGTCAGATGTCTCAGTCCAGATGCCCACATTTCCCCTGAAGCACAGGACATATCGGCGGTTCAGAGGCTCCTCAGCTCTCCAGACCCTTCTCATGCTCTCATGGTCTAAATTTAAAGCAGTCCCAGCCTTAAAAGGTCCTGACGGTGTCTTGTGCGTTCTGCCGAGTGGCAGCATTATTTTTGTTCTGTGGACTGCCTTCCTGTCCACTGCCCCTCACCCTGCTGCTTTGCCTGGATCTGAACTTGCTTTAGCTCATTTTGGAATAACACACCCTTTCTCTTATTTTCTACTGTTGTGGATTGGTGGATCTTTAACTGTGGTAAGTGATACATTTTTATTTTTAATCCACACTTTTTTATCCAGTAGTAGGACATTGTTATTCTGTAACCGTGAACTGGTAAAGCCTGAGGCCTACTTCCACTGTATTGATTTTTTTTAAATAATGTGTTTTAATCAGTCTATTTTACTCTCTCTTGTACTAACACAGTTTTCTTCAAGATAATGTGTTCTTGTAGATTTAACTGCATGTGCCACTGTGGTGAAACTTCAGCCTGAATGTAGAAGTGCTGATCTACTTCATTAACATTTGCTCTCCTTTTAAAAACAGTAAATTGAATCCCCCACACCCGTGTCTTTATACCCTCATGGCTTACAGTCGGTTTGAGTGTGGAGCTCCTGACGCTGCTTGCAGTAGGTGTTGCTAAAGTATGTAACCACCGGAAAATACATGTGTGTAGTCTCTTCTCACAAGACTACAGGTGAACTACACTTCTAGAATGACTGTAGTTCTCTGGTGGTTACACGATTACGGTGTTTGGGTTTTCAACCTGTCTAACTTGAGCAGTACTTGCTGAAATTAGTAATAGTGGTTAACTGCTTGGTAGATTCACAGAAAAAAAACAGGCAACAATTTTGATGATTTATTATGTTTTGTCTTTTTAATTTTTCCCAGAATGTCAAATATCACTTATTCTGATCTGCTTGTTTTCTGTGATGAGAAAGTGAAAGCCTTGAATTTAAACTGTAGTTTGGGCAAAACAAACAGGCTGAATGTGACATATGTCATGGTATTTATCACTATTTCCTGATGTTAGTTATTGAATAAGTAATTGAATCACTAAAGAGCATAATTATTTGTTGCAGTCTTTGTACCAGCTTAGTGTAATATCAATATAATCGACCAAAGTCTACAAGTAAATGAAGACATTCTTTGATATTTTATCCATCGTTTTCTAGCAGAGCTTTGCATCTCACTACATTTTATTTTCCAGTTCATCACAAAACATTTTAGACTTTAATTGCTGGAGATGATCTGAATTTAAATTCACACATTATCGCTGAGAACACAAAATAAAGATGTTGAGAAATCAAGGCTGCCACTGTTTATTTATTACCTGCTGCTTCATTTAACACAGTAGATTTTAACCAGAGCTAACACTTGAGCTGCTCGCACAAATACAAAATTTCATTATAACACCATCTTAACTCCATTTTAAAAAACATATTTTGTCTAAAACATCACTCCTAATACCTCATTTCCATCCCCCACTCCAAACTAATCCTCGATTCAGAAATCAAACCACAACAATAACGGTGAGATTGATTTACAGAGCTGGTAAAGTAAAGAACAGTGGTTATAAGTTGGCGGAGTGGTCCTCAGGATGTCACGATCATTACAAGTGACGCTGAAGCAGCAGCAGCAGCAGCAGCAGCATCAACTGCAGGAGAAGCAGCAGCAGCAGCAGCAGCAACTTCAATATGAGAGCAGCTATTACCTGAGCACCAAGTCATCTGTTAGCCAGAAGTCGTTCTCGACTTACAAGACCAGCAGCCATCGGTAAGAGGATGGGAGGGAAGCAGACGCAAGGTCTGAAATACACATAAGTGATATTAGACAGCTGTTAAATAAAGCAGGTTCTCTTCATGTAGCCTCCCACTTTGTCTCCTCAGAAGTGATGGATGCGTTCACCTCTTTGAAATATTCAACACTGTACTTAGGGTCTGGACTGACGTGTTCGGCAGCACAAAAGAAAGAGCTTGTAGGCCAAAGTGTGTGTTCATGGAGAGCCAATGTTTTCTATTCATGGCTCCTCATTTACCCACTGATGTTCACTTTTTATGATCTCAGGTTTTATTCTTTTATTAGAATATATCTTGTTCTTGCTTAGGCTGAGGCAGAACAGCCTCTCAAGTTCAAGTCTAGTGTCTAGTCTTCAGCTGCACGCTGCAAAACCCAACCAGCACAAGGATTTAAACAGTTTCCTTTCAATGTTGCAATAATGGTGTGGGTTTTCTAGCTGAATATTCAGTCTGTGAGTCCTTCCACAACGTGTGTGGCACCGATCCACTATTTTACTGGGTCACAAATGACTGTATTATTTTCAAATATTCATGTCAGGGCAGGTTTTTAGCCTCAAACAAGTCAAATCTCAAAGCTATCAAGCCACAGTTAAACCTTATTTTCCTAATTTGCGTTGCTTACAGCCAGTGTCCCAGACATAGATTAACTCTGGTTCTAGACAAATAGAAACATTCAATAAAGATTTCCATAAAAAAATGTTTTCAGTTTTGAAAACTGAGCAAAGTTTGAGTCTAGTCCCCTTCTCAAGTCTACATCTCTGTGTTTTTGTAATGTTTCTGCTACTCAGTCAAAGTGTTTTGATCATGTGTTTAGGAGGGAGACAGAACACTTTGTGTTTATATGAAAAACAAATAGTACCATTGAATTTGATTCTGAAGAGAATTACCATATGTAGCCATCAGCACATTATACAATAATACAAAGACAATTGCAACCTTTTTCAAGTTATTTTTCAAGCGAATATTCTAAAAAAATATTTTATTTAAGTCCAGTTCATTGTTTTTTCTTACTTTTTTTTGTTTTCTGTGACATTAAATCAAATAGCTTTGTTTATAGACCTCAAATTATATAAACTATACAGTTTTTGTGTGTGAACGTTTCTGTTTTTGTTTATTTTTTTTGCCACGATGTGACATTTTACAAAAGAAAAAGAAAAGAAAAAGAAAGACACAATAATCTACAATGACAATAACTAAAAGTTACAGTCCTAACATACAATATGAGATGTGAAGGTGAACTTTCCCTTTCCAGTCTCAGCTTGAAACCATAAATATCAGAGCAAGTCACTGGTATTAAACTAGTGATTTGACATTAAACATTGGTGTTGAGAACCTTCTTCATTTTCATGCTGTTTTATTTTTTTTTTTAACTTGTATTTGAAGTTCTGTTTTAGAATTGAATTAGTCGTGACCATAGCCGAGAACAGAATTGTGTTAAAGGGACTCTAGCTATCAAATTAAGTCCAGAACCAGTAGCTGACAAACACAGCACCTCAGATTTGTATATAAACGGATCATCCACTGTGTCAGCATGTAACGGGGTGAGAGTTTCTTTGTCATTCAGGTTGTACATGCTGGAACCAGGATAACTTTCTAAATGAGGTCAAGGGAAGAATTTCAGCTGTAGTGAGACGCTGCCAGATATATTCATGGACAGCAGAGCTATTTCTGTAGACAAGACATGAGACGATGCCGTTGGGCCAACTGTAAAGACAGATGTGAAACTGTAGCTGGTTGTACACTGACTTCTACAGAGGGTCAATGATTAATAACTGTTGGGCCAGTATTCACTTGTTAAGGTGATTGGTGTGTATCTTTGGTGGTATTATGTGTAGCAGCACCGTGGGTTTGAGCTTCCACGTGATACTTTCATTACTCATTATTCAAATCTTAAGAGTGACGCACACTCCTCAGCTTCTCAGACTTCTTCATAAATGAAATGCTCCTTACAGCAGCGAAACTTTTTGTACCTTTGACTTTCTCTTACACTGAACCAAGGACTTCCTTTCAGCACACCTGGTGAGTCAGCAGTAGAAATAACTTCTTGATAATCTTTTGTGAGACTCTCTCCATCTGTCTGTCTCCGCTGTGCGTTGAGCCTCTTCCATCAGCTTGATCCTGCCTCACCAGTAAGGAATAGCGTATATCAAAGCCACGCTACGCCGCTTCCCCTCCAGGACAAACGCAGAGACTGGGGCATACTTGGCAGAGATTATGAGTGAACGAAGAGGCTTGAAGATGAACCTTTCCACCTTGTTGCATATCCACCAGTTCCGGTTCCATTTATAAACCCTGCTGACAAAAGAAAGGTCTGAGAGGCTGATGGGTAAATGAGTCAGAGTGTAATAGGGGTCGGGGTTCTAGAGGGTGGATGGAAAAAACATCTTCTTCTCTGAGTAACTGGACTGTAGCATCTGTTAAATATGGTGTTACGTAACTGGCATATTAATGTACAGGTTTATAAATGCAGCAAGCTGTGTGGGTCATATTTTTCATGTTATTTTTAGATTGCACTGCATTCTTTCTTATCTTTTTCCCCCTTTTTAAAAAAAAAAAATATTGCAAACATATGTGGCTCAGTTGCCAGTTTACAAGGTAAAGCAAACATTACAGCAAATAAACTGCAGCCTCCTAAATGACCTTCAGGTTGAATTAACACCTTATTAAACGAAATCAGTTTAAACAAAAACTCAACATTACAGCTTTAATTGTGGTAATATTTCTTACAGGGCTGTTGTAGTCGACCACTGTAGACCAGTTAACAGTGTTTGTTTTTTGTATTTAGAGTTTTGGGATTTGTTCCATTAAAACCTATACAATGAACCGTCTCTGGCACTTAGCTTCCAGCCACTTTATTCCTACTGATAACTACAACCACAAATGCATAGTTGAATGTCTTTTTAAAGGCCAAGTACTTTCCTAAATCAGTGTGGCCCTATGGTGTTTAGCAAATAGTGCTTGGACATGGGCAGATAGGGCATTGGTTTGGGACTATTTTCCTCAACGGATTAATACATATTTGTGGAATTGATTCATAACAAACTACAAACTGTATATTTCACCAGCCTTTTCTTTAAGGTATAATGTTTTTAAATACAACAGAGTGCATCACAGTCTGTGCATGCAACCATTTGATGCCAAAGGGCAAATAAACTGACTGCTGTCTGTCACCTCAAAGACTGAAGACCGCTGTGAAGACAGAGTTGGGGCAGGAGGTGGTTAAACTGAGCCCGCTGCCTAAGAGAGCCAAACGCACCTACCTGGCGATGGACACGGACAAAGAAATCATTGGCTATGTTGTTCCTGTATTTAGAGCCGAGTAAGAAAGAATCTTCAGCACAATTTCTATCACAGCTACTGACACGCTGTATTTTGAGGATATTTTTCTGTTCTCACATCTTGCTGGTTTTCCCTTGTTTCAGTCATGACGTGGTTCGGGGCCTGATGGAGACCCGGGAGGAGGATGCTACAGAGGAGGGGATTAACTATGTGGCCATGAGGAACCTGTTTGTCAGGGAGGCTCAAGAGGCTCTGCAGGTCAAAGTGGAGAAGAAAACCAGAACAAAGCATGTCAGAGAATCCGCTACCCGCTTGGAATTCGGAAGGACGGTAAAGCCTTTTTTATTCCTCTGTGGATTTGCGATGACAAGGGCACGACCATTTTCAAAAAAATCTAATCCGTCACATGAAGCACACATGTACTCATGCGCTTTGTATCACAAACTGGCTTTTCTCTCACGCTGTAGATGGAGGAATGGTCCGAGTTTCGTAAGAAGATGAACCCAGACAGCCTCACACACCGTCCAGAGTTTATTGTGAAGCCCCGTGGACAGACGGTCTGGGAGGGCAAGACTGTCAAGCTGCACTGCACTGTGGCTGGTTGGCCCAAACCCAGGATTGCCTGGTAAGTTATGCTCTGAGTTCGTTATTCTCCACCTTCTCTGAGTCACAAGAAAAGAGGCGGATGAGAGCGATCAGTCATGCGTGTGTCATGGGGAAGTTTCCGTCTCCATCAGCCAATTCTATTTTCCACAGCTGCAACCTGAACGCTCACACGCCTCTGCAATTAAACACTCTAAAGACAACAGTAAAAAATCAGCAGCTGTCTTTTTACTGTTTTCAAGGTACAAAAACAACGTGCTCATTGATGCCAAAGCCCACTCTGAGAAGTACACAGCCGAGAGCAATTACAACATGCACTCCCTGGAGATCAAGAAGTAGGTAATCATTCAGCTCACACAGCATGCTCCCGCTTAGAATGAATAACATGGACCCAAAATGCACCTTACCAACACCTGAATACTTAATCTTCTGCACTTCTCAGTGTGAAAGAAATCATTTTACATGTGTGCACATTTTATTTTCAGCTGTGATTTCTTGGACACCGCTAAGTATATGGTCTCTGCCCTCAATGTGAAGGGGGAAGCTTCGTCTGTGGCCAATATTGTTATCAAAAGTAGGTACCTCGGTGTTTTCTTTCACATATTGTTCCGTCCTTCTCTGCAGCAGCTCCTGTTTCCTTCAGTTAGAGGTCAAAGAACAGGTCTTGAATGCCAGTTTAAACTCTGCATGGTGTGTCTAGAGTAATTTCCACATCTCAAATTCTTGAGAGAAACCAACTGCAGGGAAGTCATAAAGATCATTCACAAATGTTGAAGCAATTTTTGTGCGCGCAGTTCATTGTCATTACTGGTTTTCTGACAAAGATTTCACTCCACAGGGTTCCAAGAGGGAGAGGAAGCAGGCCCACTTGATCCTAAGCCACGTGAGACAGTTTGATGTATTATATATTTCACACACTAAGTGCGCAACATAAGCCACAATGTATAGATGTATAGAAATGGAAGAAATGACTCCACAGAACTGTAGCTTTGTTCTCAGCACTACAAAGCCTTTTGGCGTCTTGGTGCAGGTAGCAGGCAGCTGTTTTAGGTGAAGATGTTCTAGAAACCAATTATATACACTATGTATCTAATGCTGATACAACACAACTGTACTGCAGCTTGCACTAGAAATTACACTGAAATTCCTTTTGTGTCCTTAAGGTCAACTTTCTTGAACAGGTAAATACACAGTTCCTATTTACGTAACCTTTTACCCAACAGTAGTCATATAGAACAATGATACAAATAACAGTGTTACCTAAAGTACACACTGATCTTGGTTAAGCAGCAGAAAGGAGTTCTTCATCCTGATACACTCAAATTGAAGGATTCTAAATTCCCTGTTAGTTGGTACTCTCTGTTGAAAACGTGGGAAAACAGAAGAGTTGCTAGAGGTGAGGTTGAGCACACTTCTGTCGGGAGTTGACTGAAAAAGACAGTTCCAGAGATACAGAGAACTGCAGGGACAGTAGATATTGGACTGTTAAATGAAATGAAAAACCAAATCAACTTCATAAAGTTTTTCTCCTGTCCCCAGATGGTTTCAGTCCTGAGCATGGTGTAACCTTTGAAACAGCCATCATTGACAAATTTGAGGTGGCCTTTGGCAGTGAAGGGGAGACAATGAGTCTGGGCTGCACCGTCATCATTTTTCCCACTGTGAAGAAGTACCAGCCTGAAGTGGTGTGGTACAGAAACTGTAAGTTGGAAGTAGTACATTGTCTTCACGAAATAATTCATGCAAATTTCCTTTCCAAGTAGAATCTACTCATGTGTCCAAACCCACTACTTTTGTTTTTGACTTGTCTCACCAGCTGTCCCCTTGAAGCCTTCCAAATGGGTGCACACCCACTGGTCTGGGGAGCGCGCCACACTCACTCTTGTCCACCTTAACAAGGAAGACGAAGGCATGTACACCCTGCGTGTCAACACCAAGTCTGGCTTTGATTCCTACTCCGCCTACGTGTTTGTCAGAGGTAAAGTACCTGAAGTCACCTGCTGCAGGAGGAGATGTCACTACAGAAATAGGCACTCTTGAAATTTAGCCTTTTAATTTTGTAACACTGAAATTTTCATTAATCTGTGAAACAAGTCCACTGTACAGTTTTGAGTAACAGTGCTATGTGCAACATGCAACATATTACAGATGTAGTGGGGAAGTGTTCAATTCTGCCACAGCTTTAAGTGACACGCTGCTCTGTGTGAGGTGTTTGGTTTCCCTGAGGAATGTTGTTTCTATATCTGTCTGCATGTCAGAAAAGCCACCACAAAGAGTGTGCTCTGTTTGACTCTAAAGGTATATGCATTAAAAAGGGTTTTCCAAATGCTTTTTTTTGCATTTCCAAGGTATAAAGTAATGTATCTTAGCTAGTTACAGTGCTGCCACGCACACTCTGTACTGTAAAGACCTTAGTAAGTAGGTCAGAAAGTGGAAACTGAGAATGTAATGGAGATCAGCCTGATTTAGAAACAGCTCCACTCACAAGTGTGTGCGTTCTTGGATGTGTGTGTGTGTGTGTGTGTGTGGACCTTGCTATGCCAGATGCGGATGTGGAGGTGGAGGGGGTTCCCGTGGCTCCGCTGGATGTGCGCTGTCATGATGCCAACAAGGACTATGTGGTGGTAACCTGGAAGCAGCCAGCGGTGGAGGGCAGCAGCCCCATCCTGGGATACTATATCGACAGGTTGGTCTGCTCACTCTCACACGTTAAAGTATTTTTGCCATGTTTTACATAAAATGATTTGCCCTGAAATTGTAGTTTAGTTTACATAAGATATCGTGTCGTTCTATATACAGGATCAAATAAAACTGATTGTACTTTCATTTCGAGCTCCAAAAATGTGTCCTGAAGGCACATGGCACTTGCCCAAATTTCTCCTAGATTACGTCGAGCTGCCATCTTGACAGATAAATGTCATGGTCCAGATAAATAACACCTACATGTATTCCTACCTGCTGTCACTCAGTCATTCAGTCACTGTGTGGGCAGGTAGTCTGAATAATGAACTGTTTATTTCTGCATCGGTTATTCATATCATTCAAACCCAGTGAGCCTGACGTTGCCTCAGACCAGCTATTACGCCATGGAAGTATTTTTTCCTGATATTCAAATGCCAGTGTTGTCCAAATCTAATTTAAATGTCTTTTGCAGGTGTGAGGTGGGCACCCATCACTGGGCTCAGTGTAATGACAACCCAGTCAAGTACGCCCGCTTCCCTGTCACAGGACTGGTGGAGGGACGTTCTTACACCTTTAGGGTGCGGGCCTTGAACAAGGCAGGAGTCAGCCGTCCATCCCGTGTCTCTGAGGCCGTGGTCGCCATGGATCCCTCTGACAGAGCCCGCCTCAGAGGTGAGAGAGATGCACCAGAGCCCCCCTCACATGCTTCAACAATACTACCGTCTGAATTCTGTTTCTTTTCTTTCTCCCAACAGCTGGTCCCTCAGCACCGTGGACTGGGATGATCAAGTTCACAGAGGAGGATTCAAGTGGTACGGAAACTGGTTTATTAAGGAGTCATGATGTCAGACATTATAATCTTCAGTTGGCCCAGCAGTTTGTAGTTTGCCCTGGGTATCGAACCTCAATAACGTTTCAGTTCTGACCAAATAATGTCAGGTCAGGGTCAGAGCTCTGCCTCCTGATGTCCACATCACTCCTACCTCTATCTTTCTTCCTATCACAGCTTTCGCTAGTCTCAAACAAATGCACAAATCTGCTTACAGACCAAACAAATGTAGAATTCAGGCTCCTTTTCTTCGACGTTATCAAGCAGCTGTCTTGTGAGCAGCAGCATGATCGATGTGAGCCTCCAAACTGAGAGAGGAAGTGGAAGTAATATAAACACGTGACACGCACAGTAATTTATTTATATCTTGTTGCATGTCATTGCAGTTTTGTGTGTATTTAATGAAGCTTTCTGTCCAGGAAGCAGAGCTGTTGCATACAGATTCCAGGTTTATACAGTGAAATCATTATGAACAAAGTGACTCCAGATGAGTCTGGAACCAGATATTTCTTATAATTTGTCTAAAATATCTATTTAGACAATATTTTATGCAGCCAGAGTTCCTGCTTTGCATATATTGGCAAAACATTAAATATTGAAATATTTGATTGTTGGAAAAGAAGGAGCTTGTGGAACAAATTAATTTTCCTCAAACTAATGTGTCTAAAATAGTGGTGTTTAGGTATTCGCTATATTTGCCGTAGAATCAATAACCAGCTCAACAGACCGGCACCAATCATAGGTATACGTGATCTGGTTGATCACCTCCACATAACGAGCATCGTCTTCCCTCCTCAGTCGGCGTGGTCCCTGGAGAACCCACTGACGTTGTGGTTACCGAGGCAACCAAGAGCTACGTGGTGCTGGCCTGGAAGCCCCCTGTGCAGAGGGGTCATGAGGGAGTCATGTATTACATAGAGAAGGTGAGGAGACGTGGAAAACTCCATCTTAGACGTACATTAGTTTATAAAAAATGATTCTCAGTAAGTGTGAAAACTGAGGAAAATAAGTGTTTTCTCTAGTTTTGATTGGCTGCTGTTAAATAATAAGACACACCTGCACATCAGCTACTACTGTGCTGTTGTTTACTGCTAACAACACGATTTAACAAGCCTTTGTTCTGGAAATAAATTAGATTGTCAATGTTTTCTTGTATCGACCATAATTATTAATAGCAATTTTTGTGTAATACAACAAATCACTTAACAGGCATCAAACTATTCTGTGTTGAGTTTTGAATTGCTGCTCAGTATTAAATGTGAATGTTCGCCAAATGATTGTCAGCATATTTTACAGATAGTGCACAGTAACTAACATCTCTGCACGTGCCAGTATATGTAATTTCTAGCTGATGTCTTCTTTTCAGTTGTTCAATTGAAAAATAAAGGGAAAAAAAAAATAATTTTCAGAATGTCCTCTAATCCTAACTTTAGTTTTCTTGAATTGTTTAATTTTACTATTAAAAATGTACCTTTTTCAAATGAAACAGTGACAGAAAAGATTGGCCACTGACTATTAGGCTGCTGACATGTAGAAGACTAGCATGTTAGGTGACCCTTAAATATACAGTAAAGTTGTCGTTGTCATATTTCCCTGACTACAGTCTTGTTATCTGCCTCCATGTCTAACCTCCCCTGGCTCTGTGTCGACCACAGTGTATGTCCGAGACAGACACCTGGCAGAGGGTGAACACCGGTATGCCAGTCAAGTCTCCACGCTTTGCCCTGTTTGACCTGGCAGAGGGTAAATCCTACAGCTTCCGCGTGCGCTGCTGCAACTCGGCTGGCGTGGGCGAGCCCTCTGAATCCACAGGAGACATCGTAGTTGGAGATAAACTGGGTGAGCTGCTACATAATCAGTACTGGTGCTTCTTCCACAGACTCCTGCGTGGGACTGAAGGAGATTATCAAAAATTATATCATGGCTTTACTGTCCAGCCCTATTCCTTCATTAGAAGGAATTCGTTATATTCCCAGACTGATCTCTGTAATTAGTCTCAGATCTTTTGTTCTTCTCATTTTCTCAATGCTCTCTTTCTCTCTCTAACAGATCTGCCGTCAGCTCCAGGCAGCCCAGTGGTCACCAGGAACACAGACACCTCTGTGGTGGTCTCCTGGGGGGCCTCTAAGGATGTCAAACACTTGGCGGGCTACTATATTGAATGCAGTGCAGTGGGAACAGATGACTGGATGCCCTGCAACAATAAACCTGTCAAGCAGACCAGGTGGGCCAGATAAAGTATTCTTTATGAAAGTTTTAAGAAAGACTGTATGCTGACAGTGATGGTTATGGGAAAGTGATAAAAGAACTAACCTAGTTTTACAGTAGTAGAATAATTTTATATGTGCAATATGAAAGATTTTGAGCATAAATATAACATTAACATATCAGTAAACAGCTGTCCTCTATGTAAGGATGCAGTGGAGTGAACGAGACTATTACTCTAACCATACTAGACCAAGAAAAGCTGCAACTGCCACATAAACCCCAGACAGACTGTTAGAGACTGTAAGAAACTGTTTTATGTTTAATGCCCTTTAAACCTGGAGAGTTTTTGAAAGTAGTACAACCTGCATGGCTTAATCCACTGAGGTATGTTGCTTTCAGAGCAGCAATGCCCCCAAGTAACCTCAAGGTCCAGTCCGTTCGTTGGCAGTAACACTTTTTCCTGTTGTTAATAAACTGAGTGAAATGATAATCTCTTTATTCTGTTTAGGTTTGTGTGCCATGGCCTGACCACTGGGGCCAACCTTGTGTTTAGAGTGAAGGCAGTAAATGCTGCTGGATACAGCCAGAGCTCCTCTAATTCTGATGCTGTGGTTGTGCAGGCTGCCATCTGTGAGTATCTTCATCAGAATTCATCTCCACTGGTCACGTTGTCTTTTGCATCGATCCATCCTCCCAGCTATTTTAAAGCATGTATTTATCCAGAGAATGATTGTTGAGAATGTACATGTCTTTTTTTCCCATTTATTTGAGGATTTCATCAAGAAGGGAACCATCTAAACTCATGTTTTTTTTATAACTTCCAACCACTTCTTTTTCTTCTCATGCCCCAAAGTCTTTAATCTGAATCATTTTTACATGTTTCTATATAAAAACAAGATGTTAATCTCAGATAAGATATTCTCTTTTGCGACTAAATTCCGATGTACTCGTGAATTCATGAATACAAATTGCATATGTTTATGCAAGTGCTGGTTGATATGGTGCATGTTCCTGCATGATATATTCATCACTAACACTACATTTTGTCATTTTTTTTCCATTCAGGCATTTTTTTTAGCAACAAGGTTAAACCAGTCAGATAATGTTTTACAATGCTTTTGCTTTGTGACGGTATCGATTTTCTGCAAACATCTGATTTTGCTTGAGTTCTGTTTTGCTATTTGATAACTCTTCAGGGGTGCCTCTTGGTGCATGGCCAAGGTGAAGGCTAAAACATTGTGTTCTTAAAGAGCATGATCCTAACGAGAGTTTCACCTGGCTACGGAGATTTTCTTAGTGCGAAAGTTTTCCTGCTTCTGGCCTTGAGTGTAAGTATTTTATCTATTACAGTGATCTTAATAATTTTTTTTTTGCTTGTGTGTGCAAAGCATGTGGCATGTATAACTGTAGCTAATTGCTGTGATATCTTAATAATAATAACCAATAAGATCTGTATGAGATTTGACTAATGCTAGGCCATCTGTATGAAATTATGTAAGATTATGAGTTTCTCTTTAAATAAACAATCTGAACATATGAAAGTGATTTTCTTTGACACACTGCTTCACGTCTTCTCTTACACTTAATGCCGACCAGCATGTCTGCTCTCACCACAGCCACGCCTGGGAAGCCCAGCGGTGTAACCCTGCTGGAGGCCGTCAAGGACTACATGGTTGTGGGCTGGACTGCACCCGCTAACAACGGAGGAGCCGACATCAGGGGATATTTTGTGGACTACAGAACCGTGAAGGGAGGCGTTGTTGGGAAATGGCATGAACTGAACCACCAGGCACTGACAACAACCTCATACAAAGTAAGTTCTGGTATTTCAGGAAGTAACATAATCACCTTTAGAGTGAAGCTGATTTGACCTTACTGTGATTGGGGCAACAGTTTCAGGTGTCATCACTATGTTTTGTCAAGCTGGCAGGCAGGTTTACCACACTGTCATGTTGTTACAAGTACTGCTTGGTAATTACTAAAATCAAACTGTAGCTTAGAGCACATGTATGCGTTTGATTGTCTCTAGGCTGAGAACCTGAAGGAGAACGTCTTCTACGAATTCCAAGTGCGTGCAACGAACATGGCAGGTTTGAGTAAAGCCTCTCTGCCCAGTGCAGCTCTGGAGTGCAAGGAATGGACCATTACTGTCCCAGGTATAAGAGACAACATGCTTGCCTTAACACAAGAAATGAACAGAAAACTGAGATGATAGATATTATGATAAGAACAATAAGATGATTAATTAGCAAAAAAAATATTGGCAACTATTTTGATGATCAATTATGATCAATAATTCATACAATACTTAATAATCTCCATCCTCAATAAATGATTGCATGGTCAGATGTGTTACATACATAATGCACCTGTGCTGCTGAGTCCCTGATTGGCTGTGAGTTCCCTGGGTGCTGATGGTACAGTCCAGCCATAAGCACAAAACACAAAAATAAAACATTTTACTATTGTGTCTTTTTTTAATTGTTATTTTCGTTCAGAAATCAAGTCTAGAAGCAACAACCCAAACATGAGTAATTCCAAATGAATCTATGAGAGACAAATAAACATCTCATAATCATAAGTAATCAAACAAAATGGATCCAAACCCATTTTCCATTTGTTTTACTATGATGATGCAAATTCACTGAATAGCTACAAAGTGCTACATGGATCATCTACGGTATTTATTTTTTTTAAAGCAAAAAAGCTGAATGTTACCTAGTTTGAGAAACTTTTAGAATGCACCAGTCCTTGTCTAATGTGATATTACAAAATGTCTTTTGGTTTGTAACTGGGTGTTGGTCAAAACACACAGTTTAAAGACGTCACTTGGAGCTGAACAAAACTTAACAGTTTACTGACATTTATTACGTACCAAATGACAATGAACGAGATAATTGTCCTGTAAATTTAGAATGGAAATAACTGTTAGTTGAGGTGATACAAGCAGAGACTAACAAAGACTGAACAAAGTTGTGACAATAGTCAGTTACACCAGCCACAGCCCATCTCAATTAGACAGTCAATTGATATGATCATTGGAACACGTTAAACAAATGTATTTTGTGCTATACCCAAAACATATCTCTGTTTGTACATAACAAGACTTATGTGAAATTTGTTTTCAAATTCTATAAATATATATTTTATATAGAATATATTTTCTTTTTTTTTTTACATTTGCTGTTTGTTTTCCCCTCATCATTCCAACTATCTCATTTATCCTCCAAGGTATTCCTGTTGGTCTTCATGTGCTGGAGGTTCGTGACACCTCCGTTGTGGTTCTGTGGGAGCCACCTGTGTTTAATGGCCGCACTCCTGTCAATGGCTACTATCTGGACATCAAGGAGGTGTCTGCTGGCAGCGACGGCTGGAAGGCCGTGCACGAGAAGGCCAACAAGATGAAATACATGAAGGTGAGCAAGATCCATATATTGCGGTTTGAACAACATGGCCTTCCTGCATTTATCCTCATGTGAGATATGCACGTGAAATTATTAATGAAGTTTCCTCACCCCAACTTGTCATGTGCCGATTCAGGTGACTGGGCTGAAGGCCGGTGCATCCTACGTCTTCCGTGTGCGTGCTCAAAATCTTGCTGGAGTTGGAAATCCCTCAGCAGCCTTAGGTCCAATCCTGGCCCAGACTCGTCCTGGTGAGTGTGATTGTTACGTAACTCACACATTCAGTCACTTAGTGATCCTACGCAGGGCTGGAAGGTCTGGAAAAGTCGGGAAAATTGCCGTTTGTCAGTAATCACACAAGTTCAGTTTGTATACAGCTCTTAACTGACTTTCTACATTTTTTGGATTTTTTCCGCGTGTAATGACTAAGAACTGAAATCTGTGATGTCCTCACAATATCACCACTGATTCTCTTTTGCAGGCACCAAGGAGATTTATGTGGATGTCGATGATGACGGAGTGATTTCTATGATCTTCGAGTGCTCTGACATGAAAGAGGGCTGTGAGTTTGTTTGGTCCAAGAATTACCAGGAGATCACTGACACTTCTCGCCTAACTATTATCACCGAAAAGGGCAAGTAAGTATCTCATGTGTGCCCAGAGAACCCAACACCTGTCTTCACTGCAAACATTTTCCCCATCAAATCATCACAAGTCCTTCCTCTTCCCTCACATTCTGTTTTTGTGTGCTCATCTTCAGATCCAGAGCAATCTTCAACAGTCCCTCTCTGGAGGATCTGGGCACCTTCTCCTGTATGGTCACCAACACTGACGGCATCTCCTCCAGCTACACACTCACTGAGGAGGGTGAGTCGGACCACACTGGTCCCACAGTCGTCACCCGAAGGCCCGAGCACTGAACATTTAAAGATATAAGTGATGTCAGTTGTGAGTGTGTGAGTTTGTGAGAGCTCAAAAGTGGTGTGACAAGGGGGAATGCGACACACTGTCAGGACAGTGCACATTGCTTTGAAACAATGGAGAGAATTTAGACTCACAGTTTGATCAGTTGTTTGTGAAATTAGATAAGATTAGATTAGATCTACCTTCCATGTTTGGTTTGTCGACATTTTGTGGGGGGTGGTTTCACCGTAAACTAAGTCCTTCAGGAAAGTCTGCAGATTGGAAGACTCACAGAAAGAGCACATTAAATCTGCCTCAGAAACCTTGTGCACTTGACATTTGAACAGTGGGACAGGACTAAACCCACACACACTCAGCAGGAATGTGCCTCAGAGTCCATGGAGTGTGTAGATTGGGATTGGGCCAGTCTTGGATGTGTGTACCGGTACCCTGTTTCAACAGCTGCTTCAAGTTAACCTCTGTTACACAGGGCTATATTTGTTGTTGTCCTGAAGGTTGTCTCAGATTATTCCGGGCTGTTTGTCTGTCAGTTTCCAGAGGTCGTGGAATTCACCAATTTTGTTGTTGCTTTCGACAGGTCTTAGGCGTCTTCTGGACATCAGCCACGAGCACAAGTTCCCTGGTGAATATCAATACATCACACAATGTGTTATTAACACCAGAATTTATATTTTATATTGTTTCAAATGCAGATATTGTTCTAGATGTGATCTATCTATAAGACTGTGCTTGTTTAAGATGTTGCTGATACCAAACTAAAGTTACTTTATGCCCCAGAATAATTGCTATGCAGAAAATGTATAATTGGTTCCATAAAAGCCTTTAAAAAATGTGCTGCTCTCAAGTTATTCCCTTCAAGAATGAAATGGCCATGGATCTGCTTGAGAAGGGTCGCGTGCGATTCTGGACTCAGGTGGAGAAATGCACCTCTGCCTGCCAAGTGGAGTATGTCTTCAATGACGTCATCATCACTCAGGGAAAGGTAGAAATCACACCGGTTCCTTTTCATAGTGTTCTTCATTGTGTTTAGTTATAATTTGGATTAACTTTCATAAACTGATGGATTGGGGTTCATCTGTGCTTTATTGCTTCCAGAAATACACGATGAACTTCGACAAGTCCACCGGCATCATTGAAATGTTCATGGACTCTCTGGAGGTCACCGATGAAGGAACGTTCACCTTTAACCTGGTGGATGGCAAGGCAAAGGGCACCACCAGTCTGGTGCTAATTGGAGATGGTAAGACCTCAAATGCAACTTTTACTTTCATGCTGGTAAATGCTTGTATGTTTAGATTTTGTAGTATATTAGTGTTAAATGTGGAAACAGGATAAACATCCCAACCTGCAGTGCAAAGAGTTACTCTGTGTTGCATTTGCTGTAGTTTAAGTATTTGTCCATTGAGGGGCAGCAGAAGACAACTATTCCTGACTGTCTTTATTTTGGATGCAGCTGATTTTGTGATGCACTTTACAGTGGTGGAAAAAATAGGAGTTTAATAATCTGACTTTTAACATTCATGTTTAAAATGTTGTTTTTTGTTTGTTTTTTTTTAAATCATTGTCCAGAATTCAGAGAGCTTCAGAAGAAATCCGAATTTGCGAGGGCAGAATGGGTCAGGAAACAAGGTAAGGAATCTTTCTCACAAAAGCTTTTGCTAGTTACACAAATATGTTTCTAAAATTGTTTCTTGTTGCCTCTCTGCAGGTCCTCACTTTGTTGAATACCTCGACTTTACTGTTACCCCAGCCTGTGATGTGCTGTTGAAATGCAAGGTAAGAACAGTAACTTACACGGCCGTTAATAATTCTTTAAAGAAGCAGCAACATGTTCCCATGTCTCTTCTTCCCTTCACAGATCGGAAATGTCAAACCAGAGACTGAGATCATTTGGTCTAAGGATGCCATTGAGATTGCAGAGGATGATGAGGATTCTAAGAAAATTGAGAAGAAGGACGGCGAGCTGACCTTTAATATCGGAAAGGTCAGCCGTTAGATGGAGGCCGTACTTTGCGAGGAGTCGTGGGCTTATGAGTAAAGAGCTAAAAGCCATGCTGATGCAGCTATGCTTCCATTGTAGAGCTTGACTAGATGCTGTGCTGCTAACCATCCCTCTCTGACACACAGAATCATAAACGATGGAACACTTTTAAAATGTTCACCTTCCCATCCCAGTGGAGAGCTGCTGGAGTCAGCACATTAGTATCTGAGCAGATGTTTTTGCTACAAGTGGCTCTCTTTAGAAGATTTCACTTTTCATTCTTATTTTAAAATGCTATATTTTGATATTATAGACACAGCAATCTCGCTTTTTTAATATTAATGCCATATAATGTCAATGCAGCATAGTGTTTGTCTGTGGCATTCATTCATTCACTTCATTTCTAACACTATATTCAATTTAACTCTGCTGGCCACCTGAGCAAGAGCCTGTTGCCAGTCAGGTTACATTGAAGTTTCATTGAAAATGTATTAGCATCACTCATTATTTGAGGGTTTGTTTCATTGCATGAGCTCCTGTCAGTCGCATTTGCAATAACCAGCTTATCTGTCTAATTCACAGTGGATTATTAAGCAAGAGCAAAAGAAAGAAAAAGAAGGGAAAAAACCACCAGCAGAAGACGTTCCCCCACCGCCAAGACCTAAAGTCTGGACATAATCTCTCTGCCATAAGTTGACGCCTTATTGCTCCATGTGTCCTCCTTGTCTTACCTTTTTCATGTTTCCCACAATCCTTTCCATGTTTTCCTTTTAACGCCTGCAGCATCACAGGCTGGAGAAAAGCTTGCCTTTTCGGATTAGTTGGTCTCTGTCTGGCTATTCTACTGTCTGTTACCTGTCCTAAGAATTCTATTGTATTCCCCTCTGTTTGAGGTAAAAGGGAATGAATTATCGCCTTATAGGTACTGATGCAACTTTTACTTTAAACCCTAGATCTCTAAGCAAGATGCGGGCATTTATGAGGTCTTCTTGAGGGACGATAGAGGCAAAGACAAGAGCGCCTTCAGTCTGACAGATGCAGGTAAAATGTTCTTTATGAGCAACTAATCAAGTTAGAATCAGTGCTGTTCGTTTAACAAACATGTGATATCAGTGAAAATGCCATTAATTACTGTTCTGTCGTCCTTTGCTCCAGGATATCAAGCTGTAATGAATGAGTTGTTCAGAGTTATTGGTGAGTCAATAAAACTCAATCTCATCCTGCAGTAATGAAGCACAACACATGGACTACACATTAAAGTAGAACATCCATGTGGACGGTATTTTTTCTCAGCAAAAATAACTGACAGTTAGGCATCAAAATATGTTATGCTTCATTGCATATCAGATAATCTGTAGGATTGCCAAGGGATGTAAATAAATGTTGTTTGTGCTATTTGCCCTCCAGCCAACTCCTCCAGTGAAATCAATGTTCTCAGTACTGAGCATGGCATCGTCCTCTACTCCATGGTCACATACTACAATGAGGACCTGCGTGTTGGTTGGCTCCACAAGTACGTAACATTGGCCTTGTTTACTTATATATCTGGCAACCTTTTTTTTATTATCTGGTCTGCCATTCACATCCAGCTGTCATGAAATGAACTATTATAGCTGTTTGTGTATCTGTCAGCTATCAAAGAGATCAATAAAAAGATATGTCTATCTACATTATATGAAATAATTAGACCAACATATAAAATATTGCTGTAATTGAGTTTCTACATGTATTCATCAAAGATGGCACTCATTAATTAACAATAACCTGCTGTAAGTTTATCAAATTTAGCCAAAACTCTTACAAGCAAATACTCAGGACACACACATGCACTGATAAAAAGGAAAAAACAAAGAAAAGAACAGAGCTAACACACACCATTTAAAGTCCCATATTGTGCTCCTTTTCAGCAAATTAATGAAAGTCTCACATGTCTCCAGAATGTGCCTTTCAGTTTTTCAGCTTAAAATACTGCAAACATGGTTATTTTAATACTGACAGTATAGCACCTGGTTCCAGTTCTGTTCTAAACTCGCTGTTTCAGTGTCTGCTGCTTGAACTGTAGCTGAGCTGCTACTGTCCCCACCTCCTTGAGGAAGACTCTCTTAGTGTCTGTGATTGACAACACAGAGCAAAATAATTGATTGTACAGCAGAGCTATGCATGCAGATCAGCAGTTTGGAAATAGCTTTTCAGTAACTGCTGTTAACATGTGGGGGGTCTTTCCGCCACTCTTTCACAATCACTCCTGAAACAGAAAAAAAGAATGAATCACAATTATTACACAAGTATTAAAATACAGTATATATCAAAACAGAGAGAAGGACTAAAGAAAACAGCAAGTAGGGTTTAGGCTGCACTAACACACAACAGATGACATAAAAACCACAGTAACCCACCCAGTCTTTGTTTATTTGTTTTGAATTGCTCCTGAAGTTTTCACCGTCTCCGAATGTCCCTCAGCTTTACAATTTCCACAGAATTCTGACCTGTGGATTTACGATCAAAGCTAATGGTAATGTTAGCTGCACAGCATGTTAACACTAAATATTGTTTGATTGTTGTAGTGATTTTTATAAATGATAAAAGTAGTGACTACATGAAGACTCTTGTGTTCACTCTTTGGCCAACAGCAGAACATTTGTTGAGCTTTGGCTCATGGCTGAGACATTTTAGAGTTAACAGCAGCAGGTCTACAAAGTAACTAAACCTTGTGAACAGCGAGGCAGCTGCTGATTCTGAGTGACTCACCTGGAAGCAGCAGGCAGCAATGTGGCAGGATTATACAAAGCTTTTACAGGACAACTATTGGTTCCTCACTTCTTACTTACCAACTCAACTAAATTCTGGCTGCCTTGTAAAGCTGGGACACTATCTTGTTGAGGAGGGACTTGAAGAATAGCAGTAGTAAACATCTTGATATTCTTGCAACTTTTATTTTACATTTCCAGGTTTTTAGGACACTTATCGTCGCATAGGACCTTTGAATGACACGACAACGTACTAGACAAGATGCATCTGTCTGTAGTTTTCTTTACAAACGTAAAAGTTTGTAGTTTAATATAGCTGTTAACAAACTTGGATCTTGAGTCCATATTCTGTCCATGAGATGGATAAATAAAAGACACCATTACCTCCACTGAATGTACTAATTGGACCAACATTATAAAATATTACTGTGTTTTAGCTTATTCATGTGTTTATCAAGAACAACAATCATTAATTAACTTGCTGTAAATTGATCAGATTTAGCCAAAAGGCTCATTTTAATCAGAAGCCTCTCAGCAGGTTGATGTTATACAACAAACAACAACACATGAAACATATTCACAACCACAACAACGCATAAGCTCAGGGAATAAATGAGAAGAAACCCTCGTAAAAGCAATTAGCGAACAGACACATAAGGACAACAGCAGATAAGACTAAACCACACAAAGGGTTTAAGTCCGTAGTCCCACAAGCAAATACAAAGAACACACGAAGCACACACATATGCTGACAAAAAAGCAGACAAAAGGCAATCAACAATAAACAACACACTGATTTAAATACTTTATGAGCTGTACCTGCTTGTAGTTTTCTTCTTTCCAAATGGATAGAGCAGGACAGTTCAAATGTTCAACATGTGTATATAAATGATCCGCGCTAAAAGTTTGTGTTTTTGTAAAATGTCAGTACCAATCATGATTTTGCTTTTTGTCTGCTACGTAAACTATTGCTGCATGTTTTGCACATCTGAGACCACCTAGTCAAGCAATGTATAATATAAAGCAACATCCTATTCATAAATATATTTTCTACTTACACTCTGGTGAGTAATATTGCACAGTAACAAAATATTTAGACTTAAATCTTCAACTCCCATTCGTGATCCAGTCATAAATTACATAAAAAGTATCCGCAGATGGAAACAAAATCTGATCATGTGTATGTTTTTACTATAATTCAGGGATGACATGCTTTTCACTGTATTGGACCTTATAACATTAGTTAGCCAGGAAGACTCTAGCATTACCTGATGTCTGTGTTGCCTTTTTCTTCATCAGAGATGGTAAGATTGCTGCTTCAGAGAGAGTTAAGTCTGGTGTCACAGGAGAGCAGCTTTGGCTTAAGATCAATGAGCCCACTGAGAAGGACAAGGGCAAATACACCATGGACATCTTTGATGGCAAGGACGGAGTAAAGAGAGTCTTTGATCTAAGTGGCAAGGGTGAGTGACAGTCTTAAGTCAAAAGTAACGAGATGCTCCAGGCACAGAAAGAATCACGGCCAATTCACTTCGGCTGTTTCTGTGCATAAAAATGATAATTGTTGTTCTGCTGCAGCATGGGAGGAAGCATTTGAAGAATTCCAAAGGCTCAAGTAAGTAAACAAACTCACCTGACTTGTTCCTTGTTTTGTGTAATTCTGTATGTCTGTCTGAAAAGGATGTTTATACCAATATATAGCTGCTGTCGTCACAATCTGAAAATAGACTCTGTGTACGCTGTGAGCCCTTTCAAGAGCACTCAGAATACATTTCCTGTTATTGTATAGCTTTGGAATAACCATGATACCATTTTAAGATGCTTCTGACAATATCTGTCTACTTCCTTCCGTAGAGCGGCGGCAATCGCAGAGAGAAGTAAGTGGTTATTTATTCCTTGGCTTCTCCCGAGAGGCATTGCTCTGTGAAATGATGCAACATTTGCTGGATACAGAGACCTTAAGTTTAATTTTTAACTTCGGTTCAGTGGAACTGAAGATGCAGCAGTCAGGATCTCATTAATAGAAATGAGATTTTCTGCAGATGAAATTACCATGCCATTGAAATATTGAATTTAACAAAGAGAATTTCCAGCTCAACCTTACTTGGTTCGCTGAGGCTCACTCACTCGTTGAAAATGCAGTGCTGGTGAATATTGTGCTGTCAAAAGACAAATGCTTACAGGTTGACTGACTAATTGATGGTTGACATTCTTGGCTCACTCTTGTATTTCTTGCTTAGACCGCGCTCGTGTGGTTGGAGGCTTGCCAGATGTGGTTGCAATCCAGGAAGGCAAGGTAAATAAATTAGATATTCACTCTGTAAGTACACTGTGTGAAGCCCTTTGCCTCGCCTTCACTTCATATCCCGTCTAATCATTCCTTTGAATGTCTCTCTCTGCTGAACTCTGATACGATCTGCTGTGGAATGCATGTTTGCACGACATACATCAACTCTTTTGCAAATTTCTGTTCCTCTGTAGTCCCTGAACCTGACTGGCAACGTCTGGGGTGAGCCTCAGCCAGAGGTATGCTGGATGAAGAACGACAAGGAGCTCTTATCTGACGACCGCTACAAACTCAAGTTTGAAGCGGGCAAGTTTGCCAGCATCACAATTGCATCGGTCACTACAGCTGACTCTGGCAAATACGCCCTTGTGGTGAAGAACAAATACGGCAGAGAGGCTGGCGAGTTCACCGTCAGCGTGTACAACCCAGACGACGACGCCAGCAAGGAGGAGAAGAAAGACTAAAGGATGATGCAGTGTCATGAAACCAAGAAGACAAGAATAGCGACTGGGCTGTCTCCAAAGCATTTTACCCCGGCACATGCCGGTGCAACAAAGCAGTTAAATAAACCATGAATCCAGCTGCTTCCTCCTGCGTCTTTCATGTGCTGGGCTAAAGAGCTTTGGGCATTGCTTGTCAAGGAAGCAAACAATGGAGGTGGCACAGACAGAATAATTGTGTGCTTGTAGTTGCTTGACATGTCTTCTGTCCCCTGTGGCCACCATCAGCAGTTAATGTAATGTATGGAGGATGGTTGACCTGTCATTAATCGTTGTTTTAAAAACAGCATGAAGGCCAGCAAAAGCGAAACACCATCTTCTTATAATAATATTACAGTATTATGTTTGAGTCACCTTTAACCTCTTAAGCCATGCCATGCTGAGGTTTTCATACTGTAAAAAAAAAACTTAAAATAAAGAAAAAATGTTGTCATGAACATTTGGCTTGTGTTGTGATACACTGGAAAATGTGCCACAGGTTCCACTGATAGAGCTCCTGGTGTCTATGTATGAACTGCTCTTTTGTTCAAACTGTACCGTGTGCATGTGCGTCATGTATGTACTGTCTGCAAGCTACGAGTGTAAGTCACCACAACTGTTTGTAGAAGAGGAGGAGCAGGAGAACAGTGATGACGTGTAGAGAAACGTGAGTGAGACAGCACACAATACACAGCAGCCAAAACTGGTTCATTTAAGGTGTTTCACACAGTCTATGGAGCTCTCAGCAAAGCAGTAACCGCATAACTGACATACTCTAAAACTTGTCATGTGAGCATCAGACACTGCCAGAAAATTGCCTTGATGAAGCATTTGACTTGAGGTGTCTGTAAAAAGCATGTTAAACATACGGCTGCTTCTTTTTAAGGCACTCCTGATAATAAAGCTGCTCATTCACTGAGAAAGATGCCTTCTCTGGAGTTAAACAACTTGATGTAGGGATTAGTGATGGTCAGGGGTGTCCGAAGTTTAAGCCCCCAATGTTTTGCCACAGACAACAGTCAAACCTCATAAATGCTCATTACCTAAATTCTCATAGTACAATACAAATAAAAGCTATGAGCATGAATGAAATATTAAACTTAAAAGGGGAAGTGGAAGATGAGCATAATATAAAGTAAAATCAATTATTAAAAAAGAAAAAAAATGAAGCAAAAAAGTAATTCAGACAAGATAGAAAACAACAGTAAGATCTTCATAAAGGGCAACTTGAGAAGATGCTTTTAAGATGATACTGATATCTAAAACTGGGGCGATCTGCTGGAAAAAACAAAACAACCACCATCAATACACTTACTTTAAGTAAGGAACTCAGATTGTATTTTATATATCTTCTGTAGAGTTGATTTGTAGACACAAAAAGTTTTATCCATCATCTCATGGCAGCAGATTTGATCTGATTATTATTATTTGTTTGAGGTATTGTGTCATGGGAGTCTATGAGTGAACCAGCACCTGCATGTCTTCTCCTGAACGGGTAGCTTATCCAACTTACTATTAAATGAAACTATGATTAAAAATCTGAACAGGCATGAATGACCTAAGGACACCCAGGATCTTTCTGTGTGGAGTTTGCATGTTCTTCCCGTGCAGTGTGGGTCCTCTTCGGGTTCTCTTCAGCTTCCTCCCACACAGTCCAAAAACATGTTGAGATTAATTGGTGATTCTAAACTGTCCATAGGTGCGAAAGTGAGTGTGCTTGGTTGTGTGTCTCTATGTGTAGCTCTGTGATAGACTGGTGACCTGTCCAGGGTGTCCCCTGCCGTCACCTTAAGTCAGCTGGGATAGACTCCAGCCCCCCATGACCCTAGTGAGGATTAAGCGCTGTATAGATAATGGATGGATGGATGGATGGATGAATAACCTAAAAGAAATATCAGTCTCCCTCCAGCAATCTCAGTGGGTTTCACTTTTTTGTCAGGAGGAACAACTTTACATCGGGTTATATTTGTGTAAATCATCATAAATAGCACCAATTCCAAGGGACGCAGTTGGAGAACCACAGGTCTAGCTGGTGTTGCTCACTGTAAACGTGAAACATCGGCTGAGCGTAGAAGGAAAGTGGGATAATCTTTCTTGTCACAGTGTCTCACACTCAACTTACTGTACAAATACATTGAAAATGATGCAATTATCAGCTTGAAATCTAAGCATTTGAGGGCTGGACTAAGCTCTATGTGTCAAGATCCTAACAGTGCCTCTGATAACGGCCCACTATAAAAATCTGGGGCATTTGATGTCTGCTTGCACCACTCTGGTGTCTACACTGTCAATCTAGGGCACGATCACTGTGGTGTCAAAATAAAAGTGAAAGTTCAACATATATATATATATATATATATATATAGCGCTTCTAATTTGCATCATGTGTTATTTGATTAACAGCAACAAGACAGTTTTATCCAGAGATACAGAAAGTCCAGATGAAGACACAAACACTCATGGAACTGATTGACAACACACCACTTGTGTGCATTTTACCTATCAGAGTAGCACACTAGAATTGTGCTGGGTCTTTTTTTTTTTTTTGAGCTCTTGGGGCACGGTGTGGTTCACTGGTAATTCTTAGATGAAGACAAATCATGAGCATGTCTGATCTTCTTCCATCTCTAATATGAAACCACAACCTGAAGACAAATCATAAACTGTTTAGGGGACAAACACAAATCAAACACATTCAGAAGTCTGGCTGCACACGTGTGCTGACTTTTTCTATCCTGTCTGTATTCTAGTTTTCATCTTCTTGGTGGATGTGTGTGAAGTTAGATTATGTCTAGCAGGACTCACTGCATTCATCACTTTGTTGAGCAGTAAAGTCACTGCTGTTTATTGAGTAGTGATGATGTGAAGGTGATGCAGAAATTCTCCACTGATACCATCTTGTTGGTGTATGAAAAGGTTTATTAAAACAAATAGAGTATCTCAGACACAGACAGTTTGCCTGTGAGAGGATTTGAAGCCAAAAAGAATCATCCGTTAGAATAAACTTAACTACTGGCTTATATAGGGGCTGTTTATGTAAAGCTAAGACAGAACATATGGTCCATAACCATAGAAGGAGATCATTCTCTAAACAGAGAACCTAAACTTTTGACCAGGCCCCTAACTAAACATGTCAAACCCATGAGTTGGAACATCAGACACCACATCACCTAAAGTCTTTATGGATCTGCTTTAACTGTAGTGTATGTGACTACTGATGTTGGTTGTTTTAAAATAAATTAATTTCACTAAATTGAGAATAGATCCCATTTTATACAACTCAGTGTGAGAGTAACCTCAAGCAAAGGAAAAAAATAAAAACCCTCAGGGGTGGTAAAGATGAGCCAAGGGTCCCAAACATCTGTTGTTGACTGAGCCCACCTCTCCCCCACACTGTACTGTCTGTCAATAAGTGTCTTCGACGATGAGCTGCTGAGGGCAAAGTCTTTGTAAATACAGCGAAGTTGCTCGAAGTTTTATTACAAACCCAGTGAGGAGGATTAAAGGACAGGCAGGCTGAGGTGTCCCGGCAGCTGTGAGCCTGCGCCGCCACCGTGCGGCTCTCTGTCCCATCAACCGGAGCTCACTGCTGCCAGCAAACACCAGTCGGTCACGGTGGTCCAGGCACGGACACGTCAGGACGCTTTTCAGGAGTTTCACGGGCAAAGACATGGGGACCGAGTGAAGACACAACCGCGTCCTTCGTCGGCAGCATCTCGCTGAAAGTCACCGAAAGGTAAAGCGCTTTAGCGACGGGATGTTTTGAGCCCGTTTCACAGCTGCCTGTAAGAATGCATATTTCTGACTCTGCCGTCAGCTAACGTTAGCTAGCATGTAAGCCGGCTAACATCTTCTAGCTGCAGTGGATTAAAACGACCCAGAAACGTAACGACTGGACGGGAAATGTTTTCATCACACAAGAAATGAACACGTCGACTTTTCATTGAAACCGGCGACCGAGCGACTGACTGTGGCACGTTAACGTTTTCGCCGTGTGCCGTTAACGGTAACCCAGCGATGAAGCTAGCCGAGGGTTAACGAGCTGGCACACAGCTAGCTCAGCCTCGTCTCCATTCATTTCCCCCTCTCTACTATGTATCGCTCCTCTGAATGTGGCTTCAACTTGTCCCAGCAAATAGTCACGATTTAAATGGGTTTTTTTTTTTCTGTTCGGGGATTTCCGCAGTTTTCTGACAGCGCTTGTGTTCAGGTGACATTTCAGTCGTGGGAAATATGTGTCAGCTTTAATCTCCTAAATTAGCTTTTTTTTTTTTTTTTTTGGCTAGAATCGCTAAAGCTAACTTTAAAACTGCCAGATATAATTGGAGCTAGTTTGCTGGTGCCCTGTGTACATTCATTTAGTAGTATAGAGCTGGTGGAGTGTTAGCTGTGGTGACACCTCACCAAACAAACACCTGGCTGTGGGTGGTGTTTGAAAACAATATCAACTAGAACCTTTTTTTTTTCCACAGCCATTTAATGTAAATGTGTAATGTCAGATGGCCACACACACTGATCCTGTCCTTCCTGAACCTTAGTTGACCCTATAAAACTCATATCTTTAACAATCAGTCAGATATATTATGTCATCTCACTTATCTATGTATCTAAACTCATACACTGAGCTGCAGGGAATACATCAGCCTTTCAAATAAACCCTATTTTTTATAACTGTTTAGCTCTTGTTGAAAGTGTTTCAGAGAAGGACTGAATATTACCGGTTGTTTTGAAGGCTGTAGTTAGTTGTCAGTCTACCATAAAGTTGATTGAACATACACATTGACAAATTGAAAGAGAAACCTTAACCGCTGGTCCCTAGAGTGAAGGGAACTGATCTTGTGGCCCTGTTGTGCAGCGCGGGGCAGTTTGTTTTGGCATGGTTTCCTCTTAGATGGACGGTCATTGTAAATAAGTACAAAGTTCTGAGTGATCACCTTTGTCCTATTTTAAAACATTTCTGTTTTGATGGGAGTGCTCTCTTCTTGACCAGCGCCCCTTTTGACTGATTTGAAAATGTTGTCCTCTTGGTGCCTTTGCAGTTACCAGTTCTTGACCCAGTTGAAAACCTAGATTATGGACTTGATGTCTTGGCCAGCGCTTCTGTTACCACCATAAAAATGCTAAATGAGGGAATATCTCTTAGAAGGATGGTTTTCAATCCCTTCATTCCAGAGACTTAGAGAATCAAATCCAAGGTGCGCTAAAGCTGTTTTGGTGGCACATGGTATTTATTTGTCACCTGTCGTATTTCAAAAATGTATTTATTGCAAGGCTGTTGTGATGTATTAATTAGCTGGTGTATCTAGGACTGTAAATACTTATTCTTTTCATTGTAGTTTAATCTGTTGATTAATTCCTTGATTAATGGATTAGTTGTTTGATTTACAAAATGTCCATCAGTGTTTCCCAAAAGCCCAAGGTGACATCCTCAAATGTCTTGATTTGTCCACAACCCAAAGATATTCAATGTACTGTTAGGAAGGAAATAAGAAACGAGAAAATATTCAGAGAATCAAAATATCAACATACATGTTAGCAACTTATTAAATATTGGTTGCAATATGTTCTTAAACATAATTTCCCACTTTGTGTATCTCCAAATTCACACTAGCCAGGAATTTTAGCACACGGTGGAAAATAAAGAAATTAATTGTCATTTTGAACACAAATCTGTGTTTTTTCCTAGCACTGCTGAATGTGTAAAAACGAAACCCAAAGCTGTCTGTCCAGGGCTGCTGTTGTCATGGTGTGTGTTACACACACAATATGAGGAGGCTGATTTTGGTAGAGTTTGGTGTAACCTAATACTAAGAAGAGTGTAACATGAACCCTGTGTGGTCTGGTTTGTCGGCTCACATACAGGACTGATTCATTTGTCACCCAGTCAAAGCAAATGTTCACCAGATCGTTCCATATGAAAACCATAATTATGTAGTAAGAGTACCATAATACTAGCATGCCTGAGCTTGTAATTCTTACTCATTTAAGTTCGTAGTTAAAGGTTTCTATGGTGATTTTTGCTTGGTTTATTCAGTCAGGGCTGGGTTACTTGTAGCTTACTATACTGTGTGTATATATATGCTCCTAACATTTCAGTTCTAAACAGCAAGTATTCATCTATTTATACATGGAGCTTGTCAAATTCTTGGAAACAGAACAGATCCTGGCACAGAGGGAGGACCGACCCACAGCCCTCGACTCAGTAGGCCTGTGTGTTTTCCTTGCTAGTGTTTACAAAAGGCTCAGCAGATGGGATGGTAGGGATGAGGCCTGTTTGGGAGAGCCTCATGCATTATGTTCATCTTAGGGACTTACTTAGGAGCTAACCCAGGCAAAGGCAAGAGGGAATCTTTTGTCGTCACATGTCCAGGATGTCAACCAGTTCAGTAGCAATAAGGAACAAAAAAAAAAAGAAGCATGTTGAAGTCCAATGTACTTAATATCCTATTGGTCAACTCCAGCAGCAGGTCATAGTCAGCAGCTCCCCACCTCCTCCCACTCGTTTTGATAAGTCATGCACAATAACAAGCACACACGCAGCTAAGATTGTAATGTACATGTGACTGACTATGCCAGAACGTCACGCTGCAGAGTACTGCTTGCTTTTTTCCCTGAGCTTATACTCTTATCAGGAGAAGACATTGCATAGCCGTTCACAGGAATTAGCTGTACCTTATCAGCCATACACCGCCACCTTAAAGGGGCCATCCTATTGGCTTACCCGTTGTGTCCTGTCAGCTGACTGGGTGAACACAAGTGCACATCCTGCAAAAAATAGCCCAGAAGAAGGCTGACAAAGTTTATGATAGTGTTGCATAATTGCCACTGGCTCCAGATTGTATATCTGTATTTTCCCCTTGGGAGAGTTATTTCAAGGTGATTAGGTGGGCTGTATTTGAGATTGGATCCAGGATGGCAGAGAGACACTATCATCGTAATCTTAGGGAGGAAAACATTTGTCCCAGTGGAGTATCCTGAGGTAGGTAAGGTAAGAGCTGGTGCTCCACCACTAGTGATGAAGAGACAGAGATCTTGGGGGAACAGGGAACTCCAGGGAAGCAACACAGAGGACAACACAGACTACAGTGAACAGGATGAGTCCCCATCCCAGAAGTCGTCTTGGTCCCTGGTGAGTCAGTAGTGGCAGGTTTTCTGTTCAGTCATGGCTTGGGCCTGATGCTAGAGGGCCTGATGTTAGTCATTTTGTATTGTTTTGTTTGGCAGGTTGCTTGGCTTGTTGGCTCATTGTTGTAGCCCAGTCTAGTGGTTTAACACATTACCACAGTGAATCAGACAGATGATGTCAGTTTTAGGACTACATTCAAGGCTTTTAGGTCTAAGATGGACTGTGAAAAGGGAGAGGTTTACTGATATAGTGTTGTGATCTCGTCAGAAGTGTTCAGGCGGGGTCATTCTGCTTGCATCACCTGTCTGATCTAGTAATCATCTTTTATCCAAAATACCTTGCCGGTCCTATTTAATTTGTAATTTTAGTACACTAGTACTTGTGTGTCCTACTTCTGAGTTGACACTGAAAAAGAGAATGCATACGAGCAGGTGAGGCATGTTTGTCACACCTGACTGACTTGTAGACAACTGAGTACTGATAACATCTGCAAATAAAAAAAAAAAAGGGTTTCATTTTTGTTTTTAATGTTTAATATTCCCAATGGTATCATGAGCTTTGTAATTGTTTGGACCCCTGTTGTGAAGACTTACTTCTTTATGTATTTCTGTGTGTATCCAAGGGAAGAACCTAAGGGCTCTTTATGTATCGCTACACTTGGTGTCAACACCGTCACTCCTGGGCTCTGTTACTGTCATGTAGAAGTGAAAGTAAATTATATATAGTACTTCAAATTTGCATCATGTGTTGTTTGCAACAAGACACGTTTTCGTTTCATGATCCAGATACAGATGCAAGCATACATGGAATAGACCGACAACATACCACTTGTGTACACTTCAACCATGACAGTGGCACATTGAAATCTGAGATAAACGATCATGTTAGAACTTTTCCACATTTATTGTGAAATTGCAATCTATGCAAATAAGCTGAAAACAAATCAGAAACTGTTCAGAGGGCAATTTTATTTTAAAGCTTACATAAGCCCGACTGCACAAGTGTGCGCAATAGAGGTATATTTAACTTTTTATATCCACTGTATGTCTTCTAGTTTTCATCTATTTGGTTGATCCCTGTCAGATTAGTTTATTTAATGATCACATTGTTAATTAATAGGTCACCCAAAGTCGTCATACTGTATGAACTGCTGCATTTGCCCACTCTATTGTTTTTCTCTAAAATAAAAGCCCAAATTATTTAGAACTTCCCACGAATTTGAAAATAGACAACAGATTGTAAAACTCAATATGGAAGTAACCTCACTGTTTTTTGTTTTTACTGCTTGAATTCATGTTGTAAACACATACGATTGCCACCATAGAATCACCATGTGATTGTTTCATGCAAGCAGCACTAAAACACACTTTTTTCCTTCAGCTTTTGGTTATTGTCCATAATGTGTAGTTTTGTGTCATCATCTGGGGAATTGTAGCAGGGGTAGCACTTTGGCACAACCTGAGTTGTCACAATATTAATGTTGGTATTCCACAGAGAGTCATTTTAGTGAATGTCAGCAAAGGGAAAGAGCTGTATTTTTTTCATCCTCCTTGTATACAAATGTGGGGTGAAGTTCTTAGAAACAACTGAGAGCTTCCTGTTGCTGAGCTTCCTCTTGAAGTCATCACAAATCATCCGAACCCTTTCCTAACCCCGTGAACAGTTTGCTGTGATGGCTGTTGAAGTTCCATGATGTTTGCCTGTCTGGTTGTGGTTAAAAGTGAGTTGTTCTGTGTTGCCTGTACATATTTTGTTGCTCTCTGTTCATCAGCTTACGCCATGCTAAAAATACCATGCCAGTTTGCTATATTCCATTATGCCACCCTCGTACAAATGCCCCCATTCTCTACCCCAACCCCAACCCCACCACCCCCCACCCCCATCACTGCTCTCATGGATTGACTCAGAACAAAAGGTCAGTGTCAGATAGGACCATTTCAGGTTACATAAACCCAGTGAAGTCAGCAGGGGAATGTGTTTACTGGCCCCACTAAACTAGACCCTGACCCCAGCAATCCAAAATCATGTTTACTAAGTTAATCGTTACACACACTCAGCGTCACGGTGCACAAATGACCACAAACAATCTTGTTCAGTGAAAGGAGACAAGAGGTCACAGGAAGGCAGGGAAGTTTGCATGATTATGCACCATTAGCCTTGGCCTGTGAATAATTTTCTCTCTGATTTAGGAGCTACAACAGCCTGTCAAGTAATTTACATCCCCACAAACTGCTCATCCCAAGTCACTAAAAGTGTTATGAGAAAATGTGCAGCATTAACCCAAGCGTGTGTAATTATAGGCACAGATATTTGGCTTTCTAGTTGATGTGTTCAGCAGAGAGTTGTGAATGTAAACAGGATGTGAGCTGCTGTAGGACTGAAGGATCTCTGACTGAGGGTGTTATCATTGTTTCTGCACAGCCATTAGCCCCTCTCTCTGATATTCCTCATGTGGGACAATAGCCAGTGATAGGACAACAGTGGTGCTCTGGCAGTCTGTATGCAGGTCAGGAGATAACAGACACCACAGGGCAGGCTGGCAGTTCAGTGAGCGAGCCAAGATGAAAGCAAAAGCTAAATGAGGCAGTCCAGCTGTCTGGAAGAGCACACTTAAAAGAAGCCACAACAGTGGACAAACTGCAAGAATACCAGGGAAATCAAGTGGAAAACTTGCAGATTTCACAACTTGTCAACAGCCTTCACTTGTGAACGCTGACTGAACAATACACCCTCATCCCGTCTTTCCGTAAACTCAGCTAATATTTTTGTTCTTTTCCCCCTCCAGGCGGACACCATGAACTACGTGGGACAGCTGGCGGGTCAGGTTTTGGTGACTGTCAAAGAGCTGTATAAGGGCATTAATCAGGCCACACTGTCAGGCTGTATTGATGTTGTGGTTGTCCGCCAGAGAGATGGCACCTACCAGTGCTCCCCATTTCATGTGCGCTTCGGAAAGCTGGGTGTACTACGCTCTAAAGAGAAAGTGGTGAGTTACGTTTTAAAAATTATGTTTCACTGACATGTTAAAGTAGTGAGCGATATATTGTGTCAGTATCACTTGTATTGTAATAAGCACACTTATTAAATGCACATATGACACATGACAGATGCTGCCTCTTGGCCAGGTCGTTATTGTAAATGAGAATCTGTTCTCAATTCACCCACCTGGTTAAATAAAGGAAAAATAAAATAAATAAATATGACAGAAAACAGACTGTATGCCAGCTATAAAATGTTTTGCTTTCCTTTGAAAAAGCAATGCAAGTCCCACACAGGATACGACCTGATACCTGATTGGTATTAAGAATTCCCATACATACCTCTGTATCCTCATCTGTGCTTGAGGACAGTGGCTTGAGACTTTATTAGTAACTACTGGCATTGCACGCCTGCATTTCTGACTGAATATTTGGTGGTTGACTGGCATTGTGGGAAATGTAGGTGCCAGGTTTTAACAATGAAAGAGAATTGTGAGTTATAAAAATAGACAGTGTCTCTGGTTCTGGTACAGTGATTTCAGTTTTCCTTTTTTAAACTGCCCACCATGGGTCTGCCAATGTTATGCAAGTGCAGTGTTCAGTCAGTCGAGCAGTCTTTCAAACACTGGTAAAGATTGTGACTACTGTATAACATTGTGTCCAACATAAGCCTTATTACTTTCTCAGGTTTTTAAAACTTTATTGTGAAAACGGTGTCAGCATGTATAAAATGTGCTTCTTTTTTTTTTTTTGAAAACTTCCATACTAGCCTTTCTCCTCATAAAATTGCCCCACATTAGCCTCAGAAAAAAGCATGTGATGACACGGTTCCAGTGTGGGTAATTAATAAATATTGAGCATAGCGATCACAGATGATGAATCATTCAGGGAAACGCTTTGTTTGTAGAGCATATGTTGGACGTTCTGGGCTTTTCTCCCTCAGTGACAGTGGGTTTACTATACACTCTTGCCTTGAGATGAGATTCAATTAATCAAGGTTGAGGAACAGTGGTGTTATTTTTAGAGCCAACTTCTCATTTTTGTCACCCGTCTGCGTTGGCCTAATTGATGGGGTGGGAAAACAGGTTTAGTCTATTTTGGTAGTAGTGCTGGAATAGTATAGGGAAGTGAACTTACATATTATGCAGCAACTTTGTAATTGAGATTACTTAAGTCAATCATCTTATATAAAGATTCAGAATATTTCTTGCTGTTCCGTTGGCAATTAGTAATGGCTAATATTAGATAGCGGTTGTAATTCAATGAGTTTACAAAACGCCAGTATGAACGGTGAACTTGTCCTGACTTCTATTCTTAGAACAGTTATATTGTGCACTGGCTTGAAAGAAAGCTTATTTACTTGCTGGTGGACCAGAGAGGATAATGATTTGTGGGGGACTCACACTGTCTCACTGCCTACCCAGAATGTTGATGGGCTCGGAGGGGAAGAATGAATGAGTGGTTTCTATGGCAACAGCTCTACAACTTGAATGTGTGGGAGAGGGAGGAAACGTGAAGAAAAAGGCCTCAACAAGGGCTGTTGTGTAACAAGCAGTTATGCATATGTCCCCGAGATCACTTATCAGAGCCTTGAGGGATGTTGCTCAAGATATATATTTAATCAGTTATATATAGGACTTTATTTATTTATATACAAGTTTCCGGACCAAATTAATGATGTGATATTTGTTCCTGACATGCAGACATTTTGTAAAATTCAGAGTGGGAATTTCACTGCTGTTGACAGCCAAATGCTAATTAAATTTTGGCTGTGGATAATGTGTCTGTCCCCATATGCCAGTCATTTAGGTTGGCAACCAGAAATGTTTTTAAAGTACTAAAGTTCTAAAAAACATTTGGGATAATAATTAAACTCAGCTATGCATAAGTAGTTCTCCCCTTCCATTTTTGTTCCGTTTGCTGGAACTGAACATGATCTTCAAAAGTCGAACTTCCTAGTGCTGTCAAAGCCAAATAACCCTACACTCTGCCTCAATTTTGAGCATCTGCAGGCAGCGATTGCCTGCAATAATTCCAGTAATCCAGCATGATGTTGGCGAATCCACACCTCAGCCACTCAAGTGAATGTAACCTGTGACCAACTGTGTAAGGTTGAAGAGGGCCCTCATTTAGTCTGGCTCATTTTTAATTGAGCATTGAAATTCCCAGCCACCACCATACATAAATTCCCTTTCGCAGCCCTGAGGGGGTGAAATTAAATCTTGAGACTGCAGAGAAACCACAGCAGCAGTAAAGGACACCAGCAAAAGGAAAGATACAACACGACAGATCACATGCATGGGAAGAAAAACAGATTATTCTGCTGGACATTGGCTGCAAATGAATATTGATGATTTAGTTTCAGGTTGCAGAGCACTTGTGAGTCAGAGTCTGCCTCCTCTGTAGTCTTGGCCAGACGTGACCTGTTTTTTTCGTTTGTGGTGTCAAGTTTCTGAATGGCTGCTGGTCCACTGGGGTTTGCCTGGCAAACATGAATGGCCTTGTTCTGTTGGCAGGCTCCATAGAATGCAAGCCCAGAAGACCCATACGCTTATTAGGTTTCCTCAGTCAAAGCTCTGGGAGAAAGATGTGGCTGTTGGTAGCTACAGGCCTTCTATGTGGCCTGACAAAGTGATGCAAGTATAATAAAACAAGACCCAGTTCATTTTTAAACCAGTTAAAAAGGCAAAAAGAGATCTTTAGATAGATGCACAGAGTGACATCAGCCAACCACCAAACATCACCATGACTGTACCATTAAATTGTCGGTGTTCATGTTGGCCCAGAGGTGTCAGTCTGTACCGTCTGCCAATTTTTTTCAGATCGACATCGAAGTGAATGGAGAGCCTGTAGACCTGCATATGAAGCTTGGTGACAATGGAGAGGCCTTTTTTGTCCAGGAATCTGAACAGCTGAATGTAAGCATGACATGAATAACAATACAGTTGAAGGTCCATGACAAAAAAGTTTAAATAAGATTACTAGTGTTTTGTAAAGCAAACTGCATGTTGTTTCTCTTTATCAGTGGCAACATCTTTTCCAGATGTCTGTTTTTTTTAGGGTCTGAACACAAAGTGAAAGAAACCTCTTGTTTGTTTTGCTTCTAAGGCAGCTACTCTCATCCATGCTCTGTGTTTCAGTGTAGCAGCCAAATATGTAAAGAACTGAGTTTGAAAAATTCTACACACATATTTTAGTAACATGTTCTACACACAACAGTAAGACACCATCTCAGAGTGCCCTTAATACCTACAGCAGTTTTGAAGTACAATGGCATGGTTAAGTGTGAGCGAGAAAATAATTACTCCACTATTGTGTAGAAGCTATATTTGATGAGTGATCTATTGCTTAAGCTCCCGGATCTCTTACTGTGACAGCTCAGCAGTGACAACCAACCTGTTCTCCTTGATTTGAGTCACTATGCAGACTCTAGGTATCATTAATGTTGCTTTTGCTTGCAGACAGTGTGAGCCTCATGCTAATGCATGCTTATTTTAGCAGATTGTCCCTGCCCACCTGGCCACCTCCCCAATCCCCACTGAGAGTCATTTGTTCTGGATCTCTGAAGTGGAGCACAGGGCACCAAAAGATCTGGAAGATGACCCTGTTGATCCAGAGGACCCACCTGAGCCCCCTGCGCCCAGCACCCAGGCCACAAAAAAGAAGAAAAGACGAAGAAAGAAGCACAAAGGAGACCCTCGTAGAGAGGAACTGACCCCACCAATGTCAGTCACTACTGGTAATGCTGTTGCTGCTAACACATCCGCTGCTACAACTGCTGCTATGTCCAGCACTGGGCAAAATGAAGAGATCTTTGAGATGGACTTGAGCTCTGATGAGGAGGCTGCAGCACATGTCTCAAGGTAAGTCCAGGGTAATGCTTGTTGCTGTCATCAGGATTTGTTTTAACAGACAAATGGTTAATTATTTTGTGTCTTCTGGATTCAGGTCACCGTCAGTGACCACAATGCGTGACATTGACCCTAAATTACCTGCAGCCAGACACAGTCTTGATGGTTATCCAATGTCTGATGGGGACTGGCCAGCAGCTGACAGGTATGTATTTACATGAAAATACAGCTATTAGCAAGTTGTAGCATAGACACATAATTGCCTCGACCTTAGTCATTGTTTGCATTTCTTTATCTATCCCTTTAGTCATGGATTGTCTCAGGCCTTCTCCCCTAAGAGTGACTCAGAACTGGTGATGAGGCCTTCAGAGAGCTTGCTCAGAGCTGAGTCCCATATGCAGTGGACCTGGGGAGAGTTTCCAGAAACAACCAGGGTAAGCACTTCTTTCTATTAAAGTGTAAGGCAGCAGTCAACATGCTTACCACCATAGTAACTTCCAATATCCAATGTCCAGGTCACCAAGAAAGAGAAACCAGAACTACTAAAAACAGTGACCATCACCCCATCAGAGAGCACACACTTTCGCGTCATCCTCAGCTCTGAGGCCATGGAAAATGAGACGGAGATTGAAAAGAAAGAAGGGGCCTCCACCTCAATGTGTACCATCGTGAAGCCCGAGCCACGCACTCCTATTACCACTGTAACGCTTGTGAATTCACTGTCACCTGTTAGTACTTTGACCTCTGTGAGTCCCGTCACTCCCCCAGAACCTCTGGATGTCCTGCCATCCAGTGTGACCACCTCCACCCCCTCTAACAGCCAACAGAGTGATTCACCCTCAAAGAAGAAAGGTACATTATGTGGATGTCAATTGGATCTTTTTTTAGGCAAATCTTGGTTAGTACTGACTATACATTAGGTAACGACTAATTCTGTTGTTGAATGCAGGTGTCCCAAAGAGGAGCCAGCATCAGGGTCCTGAAGATATCTACTTAGATGACCTGAATGTACTTGAACCTGATGTTGCTGCACGATATTTTCCCAAGAGGTTAGCTGATGAAAGAGTCACCTAATTACTTGACCTGTTTTAGTTACTCATTGTTTTCCTCATCTAAAAGAATGCTGAAAGCCTTAAAGACTAATCCGTTTTTTCTTTACTTTTGTTGCTGCAGTGAATCTGAGGCAGCAACTAAGCACTGGATGGACTCAGAGATGCGCTCCGGTTCACAGTCTCCACAGTCGGTGGGTAGTGCTGCAGCTGACAGCGGGACAGAGTGTCTGTCTGACTCAGCCAGCGACCTCCCTGACGTCACCCTATCTCTGTGTGGAGGGCTCACTGAAAATGCTGAAATATCCAAAGGTACACGAGAATGACACTCATAAAAAATGCAGCCTAAAGTGCACTTTTATGAAAGACAGAAAGTTATCCTCAGCCAGTAGAGGCATCCAGCACAACGTGTTATATAACGACAAAGTTTCTTAACTGTGTTCTCCACATAGGGAGGCATCCAGCTACTGTTGATGGAGACTAATTTTTTTTTTTTTTTTTAAATACAAAAAAATCAATGTGGTACGTTTAGTCGTGTCAGTATCAGTTCCCATTTTACTAGAGCTGACACCCTACAACACTGTCCCTATTACGTCTTCGTTTTTCTCTCCGTTTTTCATCTGTCAGTCAATTAAATATATGTGTCCTCCTCTGGAAGTGTGTATTAGAAGGCCTCCGCTGCTGTGGCTGAAGGAAGAAAAAGTTTCCTGACCTTTCTATGTAGTAAGATGTTATGCTTCACCACCACTGACCTTATCATCTGCTGTCTTTAATTAGTCTTCCTCTGCTCTCTGTTTGCAGAAAGGTTCATGGAGCATATCATCACCTATCATGAATTTGCTGAAAATCCAGCAATTATAGATAACCCCAACCTGGTAGTAAAGATAGGAAATAGGTATGTAAGCATTTTTATTTCCCCGGGGAAATGTACAAGAAAGTACTTTAAATGTGTGATCCTTATTGTGTGTTAACCAGTGTATGTATTCTCAGATATTATAACTGGACGCTAGCTGCACCCTTGATTCTAAGTCTACAAGCATTTCAGAAGAATCTACCAAAGGTAATTTACCACTTTGTTCTGTTCATTCTGTGTGGGCCGTTGTAAATTGGCACATAGGTCATTATTAACTGTCTCCTTGTCAATGTTAGGCTACAGAGGAGGCCTGGGTGAAGGAGAAAATGCCAAAGAAGTCAGGCCGCTGGTGGTTCTGGCGAAAGAGGGCGGATAGTACAATCAAGCAGGTGTGCATGTTAATAAGTACTCAAAATGCAAAATAAGCTATTGATTTCATTTTTTTTAGGCACATCATTATGCCCCGTGTTGTATTTTTAGATCTCATTTCTTAATTGTGCTAATTGTCCAGGGATTTGTTTCTTTCCTTCCTTCCTCTAGTCGGAGACGAAGCTTGAAACCAAGGAGGAGTCTCATTTGGAAGAAGAAGGGCCCTCCATATCTCAGGAGACGCTGGCTTTACCGTATGTGATACCAAGGATTTACTGATATGTGTGCTGTCAAGTGATACAGTAATTTGGCTAAATCAACCTATATTATTGGGCAGAGGATACAGTTGGTCAACAAAGGTTTTTTTTCAGATTGAGAAGACATATTATGAATGATGCATGTATGTAAAGTGGCATTTAATGGATGTAAACAGTTTCAGGTCAGAATTGTATGGAAATAGAAATGGCCATGTCTCAATACACATACAGCTAACGTATGTTTGTATATAGCATTTATTTTTTTTGCTGGCATTTCACATTATAGATAATTATCAGACATAATATATATCCAACCGTAACTACTGATGTTGTCCTGAAGGCCTAAAGTGGGAGACTCATCCAGTGATGAAGAGTCCAAGGAGGTGAGTGCCGTATCCTGTCAAGAGAGGCTGCATGCAGGAGACGTCCAGCACCATTCCAGCGCGCACACTTACAGAAAGTCACTACGCCTGTCGTCTGATCAAATTGTAAGTACATTGTTCAACATGTTTACAGAGTACAAAGGCTTTATTTGGTAGTTTAGAGCTCCCTCTGCTGGCGGGCCAGTAATTGTATAGTGTTTTCTCCAGCTGTAGTCTGTAGGGGGCACTAAAGGCCTGTGCATGTTCTTTGTAATGTGGCAAACAAATTGTACTGCAGGGTGATGGCTAATTTGTTGGAATCCCTTTTAGTGAATGAAATGGACTGTTCCCCAGATGCCCTCACAGATTTCCTTGTGTTTGCAGGCCAGTCTAAAGCTGAAGGAGGGACCAAATGATGTGACGTTTAGCATCACCACCCAATACCAGGGCACATGCCGCTGTGAGGGCACCATCTACCTGTGGAACTGGGATGACAAAGTCATCATCTCTGACATTGATGGCACCATCACCAAGTATGAGCATACAATCACTCACAAAACTTTCACACCGCGTCCGAACTGAGTAATAATACTGAACAACTGTGGCATTTTTTAACATTTATATTGCTAGATAAAGTATGTCATTAAAGAACGTAGCTATGGCTGCAGATGAGCTGTTCAATCTATCAACATTGATCTTGTGTGTAATCCACTGTGGTAATTGTGGGCAGTGCTGGACAACACAGTAAATCACTGTGTTATTGTTGCAACCTGTTGCGTTGTTCTTCTCCATTAGTTTACGATGTTGTTTGGGTGCTTTCCCTTCGCTGCTTGCTCATAAAATATTTCTAGTAAATACCGAATATTGATTTAGCATGTATGTAGGGAGTAATCAATGAAGCTGTCACTCACATTCATCTGTTTTAGAGGCCTATTTCATTTTGTGGATCTAATTTTAAATCTCTAGGCAAATCAAGTAAGCATCTGTTGCACACCAGTCTTGGATCGTTTTCTGTAAACATCCACTATGCAGAAAAGTAAGCAATTCATACATCAGTAAGACAGTCCTGTCGTGTTTTTAGTCTCTCATGTCTGTAAATTGCCCACATACTTTGAAATAGGTTGAGCAGGTTTTTTTTCATTTCCTTTCTTTGACATTTGTTCTGAGGAACTTCATTGCCGTGGATATGTTCAAGTCCTTCTCAAACAGCAGATATTAAGGGTATAATCCAGTTCTATTTATGTTAAGCTATTTAATTATCCTAGAGCTAGCTGCACATCTTTTGAAACAAAACTGACGTCTGCTGCCTTTGTGACGCCTACTCTGTGAGGTTCATAGGTGGTCACCATCAAACAGCTCCAGATTGACTGCAGCTTATTATCTCAGTGACCCCTTAGGCCAACCTGTGACATGTGGCTTTCTTTTAGTAACAGAGTAAAGAGTGCAAGGACTATAATGAGCCCATTTACATTTCAGTGTGTAAGAACACACAGCCATAAGCTGAGGGTGAGACAGAGCCTCCCCTATGGGCTAGTAATCCTCATTAGTGGAGAACAGTCCATAATGTTCTATGTTAAATGATAAAATGGTAAAGTATGCTGCTTTACTTGACCTCCTTTGAACAGTCTATACTACCAATGTGCTTTATTTTCTTCCATGCACATTCTTTCACTGTCTCTCTTACTCTACGTCTGCTGCATTTTATCTTTTTTTATCTCTCAGCGATGTGCCTGGCAGATGGGGCTATCTCTATTTATTTGTCATTCATATTTGTTTGTGTTTATTGTTTCAGGTCAGATGTATTTGGACAGATCCTTCCACAGTTGGGGAAGGACTGGACCCACCAGGGCATTGCCAAGCTCTACCACTCAGTAGCTGAGTAAGTGCACAACAATACTGATTAATCGCAGAGGAAGGATGAATGGATGGTCAGTGGTAAGAACTGTCTGGGTTTTTTTTCCCAGTCGGCTTTTTGTGGAATTCATATTTCCTCCCAGTGTTTGCGTGGGGTGCTCCGAGGTGGATGACTCAGTCAGTTTAAATATAATTAAGTCTGAATTATTCCAGAAACTAAAAACACCATTAGTCTCGTTATTGCTCAAATACATCTCTCACTGAATTTCCTTTTTTTTTTTGAGTTTTAAACTTAATTCTGGAACTATCTTAGCTACTTTAGTCTTTCAAGGAATAGAAAATTAAATACACACAGAAAAATGAAGGCAATATTGAGAGGTTGTAAGTAGAATCCTTCCTCAGTAAAATTTTCATTGAATTGTTGTCACTTCCGCACATTATGAGAGCAACCAGTATAGTAAATCTAATTAATGTGCTATTCTTAGTTGTTGCTATTATGGTCATGACAATATTGAAACAACTGTTAACGAGCACTGATGTCCCCATCGGCAGGAATGGCTACAAGTTCTTATACTGCTCAGCTCGGGCTATTGGCATGGCAGACATGACAAGAGGTTATCTGCAGTGGGTCAATGATGGAGGCACCATCCTGCCCCGTGGACCTCTCATGCTTTCTCCCAGCAGCCTCTTCTCTGCATTTCACAGGTACAGTAATATGCGCTAGAAATGGCTTCCACTCTCGGAATCCTAAAATTCATCATATATATTAAATCCCCCCTATCCTCAAACCTTGATTCTGTTTTTAAACCCATTTTTTTTCTCCCTTCAAACTTAAATCCTTTTTGTCTGCAAACTTAATTTCACATTAAATATCCCTAAGTTTCTCAGTATCAGAATGTAGTATCAGTATCCTTACTCCCCAAAGCCTCAGTCCCTATAATAAGCCTTTCATATGCTGTGGTTATTAAAAATACTGAAAACTCAGGCTCATGAATTCATAACTAAAACGACGTTAACTGTGTCGGTAGCATTGCCACCAGCTCTTAGAAATACAGTCACGGTCAGCAGTTTATTGCTGTTTTTTTTACCTTGTATTATGTTTGTTTCCCTGTTGGTTGTCCGACTGTCACAGCCCCAGATGGGAATTGTCTCTTCAGAGACAGGAAATGGAGAAAGCCTTCAGGGTGTCGCCTTTGATGTGGGATTGACATGCACATTAATTAGCTAGTTAGGTTCAGGAGATTTGTAGGATTGATCTTTTAGAAGTGAGCTATTGATTGAATATTATATAAGAAAACAATCATTTGTCTACATTTTTCATAGTAATAATATCTTTCCAAGTGACATTAAAAGTATTTTTTAGCTGGGAGTTGATGCAAAGGTGTCACAGCTGATCTGTTGTTTGCATTTTATGAAGCTCTTGTCCAAATGAATTGTAATAGCATGTGTTAATGTCAAGTTAATTAAACACTACGCTTGTTATTAGGATTCCCAGCGTTGTGAGGGCATAAATATCAATGGCTTGATGGCGTTGCTAAATTATTGTGCAAATCTTTTATCCTCTGGCTTCAATATGCATACAACACACACAGTCAGATACGGGCCTTCATATACCATGTAGGAACATCAATACATTTGTCAGAATCCTAACATAACTAAGGACAGTGGCTTATCTGATTTGTACACCTTAAGTGAAGTTTTGTTGAGCATGTCAACTATGTTCTACTATTGTTTGTATCTTAACAATGCAGCACTGCAGTGTAGATTTTTTGTGATTCCTATATTAAATGATTAATGTGTAACTATAGCAACCCACAGCACGATGCTTTTAGTTCAGTGTTGTTCATTTGCAGATATTTAAATGATTTACCTGACTCTCTGACATCCCAGATATTTGAACTTTCACTGAGAAAGCTTGACCAAAGTGGTCATTTTGAACAGATTGTTTTTTTTGCGCTGCATCTAGATGGTTTGTAAAGTCAAACACACCGTTTACAGAAAGGAATCGAAATCAAATCTACATTCACTGTGTGAAAGAAGTTTTAGTGAAAATAACCATGTGTTACCTCAGACTCAGAATTGACCCATGGTAAGGACATGCATGTGTGCCGCTCTAATAAAACAGTCTGTTTGCTTCAGGGAGGTCATTGAGAAGAAACCAGAGATCTTCAAGATTGAATGCCTTACAGACATCAAGAACCTGTTCCAGCATAACAAGCAGCCATTCTACGCCGCCTTTGGGAATAGAGCTAATGTGAGTTAATGCATGTTTGAAGATGTCAGACTGCCAGACATTAAAGTGCTCGTTATTACCTGTCAGTTAGCTGTGTTTTCCAGTGGCTGATGCATTCATGATGTATTGTAAGATCAACATGACACTTTTGGCTATCAGCTAGCAGACGCAAACATGTGAAATCAGTACTGGGCTGAACCTGAGCTGAGGTCACTAGCCGAGTATAATTCCATGTGACTTCATCTATGAAAGGGAGCTCAAGTTGGGCACAGCATCCCATCTTCAGCTGCATAAACACCAACACCCAGACGAAGCACTGGGTCGGCCATCAAAAATCCGTCTGTCTCCATCTGTCACCAAAGACAACAAAACAAAACACACAAACACACACAGTCTTGCTGTTGCCCACCAAAACATTCAGTCTAGAAATTTTGCCATTACATGCATTAGTTGGAACACAAACAGGAAACCTGTGGTTGACGTTATTAACGCCCTTATTTCACTTTGCAGAAGTCTGTGTGTGTTGCACATAAAAGGCTACTTTCTAAGAATTACATAATCAAGTGTGTTCTGTGATGGCTGCTAAAGGTCCTGTTAGTAATATTTCACCACATAGATTACAAGTTTATTCACATACTTTATCTAAGAGGGTTTTGTTGGTTTTAAAATGTACGTTTGTGTTGTGTTTATAAACACTAGCGTCTAAAAAATGAACAAGTTTCTAAGTGTAATGAGTCCTGTGTTTTCTATTTCAGTAGCTTTGTAGTGCTTTAACCAGCATGTCTCCGTACAGGATGTGTTTGCCTATAAGGAGGTCGGTGTTCCAGTGTGTAGGATCTTCACAGTTAATCCCAAGGGAGAGTTGATCCAGGAGCAGACCAAGGGCAACAAGTCCTCGTAAGTATATCACAGGTCTTGTCTGTTTAACTGCAAACATCTCCAGTAGTTGGATAACTGATACATCAGTTAGTATTGGTGTACATTCATTGGTACAATATAGTGTCCGATAAAAATCCCACAGATGGATTGTTTTAGCATCTTTCGGGTTACTGTTTTGGTTTTTCAGCATGCACTTTACCTATTTTGTTCACATTCCCCATTTTCAGCAAAAAAAAAAACCCAAACTTTTAGTAACTGACTTTTCGCTGTCTTCCCAGCAGCAAACACAACACAGATGAACTTGGAGACAAGCTGGTAAACATAGTGGGGCATTTAGCAGCTTCAGAGATGGATATTTCCCTCAGGAGCTAATGCCAAACTAAACACAGCTAAAGGGAGAGGGAATACTGGGCTTAAATCTGTCAACTAGCCAGCAACACAACTTGAAATTCATTCTAACTTTCCACACAGTTTGTAAGTCTGTCCTCAAGTAACACGAAAGAATAATGCAGCATTAAGATTTACTCACTATCTAAAGGTCCCATATAGTAGAAATCTAGTTTATTTAGTTTTATGTGATTTAGAAATCTGAAGGTGTAAAATACACGCAGTGAGAATATGGTGATACTTATTTCTGCCATTCCTCACACCATGCCTCTCCTAGATGACCTCCCAGTTTTACCAGCCAGTAAGAATCGTATCCAGTGTCAACGTATAAACTGGGTAACAGCTTGTTACGCAGCGTCGACTTTGTGTAGGTCTGCCCCCTCGCTGCCACTTCTTCCCCCTGTTCTGCTGGAGGCTGCAAGAGTGAACATAACAGTCTTCATGCCCTTCCTGCATCTGAGGAACTGAAGACCAAGGGAATTCTATTTTTGATGGCAATGTCCCCTCAACAATAAGAATGTCCTTATTGTTAGCGCATTGTGCGACTCATTTGGCTAACATTGCCCTAAGCTTTGATTTTATGCCTTCAAGTCAAAGCTCTGTAATGTAAAGCTGAGCAACATTCAGAAATGTTGGGAACTTTGACACTGTTATGAAACCAGTAAAAAACAACTGAGTGGGTTACTGTGCACTGTCATTTGTACTTCAGTGCAACCTCAGCTCAGCCTTGCAGCTGGGTTCTTAATAAAGCGGTTCTCATTTACGTATTTTTTTTCATTTCTGTTGCCAGACAAGTTTGAAATAGTGACTGAAAGCAGCTCATCAAGACGACATGTTAACCAGCACTGACTTCAAATCCTGTGAATTCAGCAGTACTTCCATGTAAAATGACTGCTCAGAGAGAAAGATAGAAGTGATAGAAAGTCGTGGTCTCACACTCGTTCACATCTATGTCAGCTGCTGTACGGTCAGCTGGTCAGTCCAGACACAGAGAGGGTCTTGTTCCTGAAGGAGCCGTAGACGGCAGCAGTTCAGCTGCAATTTAAGCTACAGACACTGAAACAGCATGTGTAGTACAGGGATTAACCCAGGTGTTGTACAGTCATGGGAAAAAATGAACCATCACTGTGGTGTTTTGAGCTGAAAATTAAAAAACACATTTTGGGGGGAAAAAGAGCACAATATGGGACCTTTAATAAATGCCATCCTTCTTAAAATCTTTTTTAGGAATTCTGTTAGAACTGGATTTTGTTTATTTATTTAGCTTGATCACTAACTAAATAAAAGTATAAATGGTATTTAATTCTCAATGCTTGTTGTTCTCTATCTCCCTGTCCCCCCCTTTTTTTTTTTTAATCTCTAATTCTATCCTTCCTTTGCAGTTATGGCAGGCTCAGTGAGCTGGTGGAGCATGTGTTCCCTTTGTTGAGTAAGGAGCAGAACGAGGCCTTCGTGATGCCAGAGTACAGCTCTTTCTGTTACTGGAGACAGCCGATACCCGACATCAACCCCGATGAACTGCTCTGATCTTGCACTTACAGATACACAGGTATACGTGTACTTGTGATTGAACTGTGCACTTGGTTGCATCTCCTGAACACACATGGACTGGAACCCAAATTTTCTTCCATAGTTTCAGACTCACACAACTCTTTAGTTAGTGTGACACAATAACAGGGTTATTACTATAAATACATTAAGCTGGTATCATGTATTTTCCTATTAGAGATGAGAGGAAGTTATTACTATAAGAGTAAATCCTGATGAATAATGTCCTAAAAGGTTTATCCCTGGGAGACAAGAGACCGATCACCACCTAATGCCCGCCTGGAATAGTGATTGAAACCCATCTTATCTCTGTAAGTCTGTAACTTCTAGGTCTGTAATAGCCATGAGGAGATCAACGGAAGCCCCACCGAGGCACTAGAGTCAGAGCAGAGCGGAGCACAGTGTTACCCGATGCCCTGTAGAAATGTCACGTTCAAAACACAAAAACAACACTGCTAATTAAAACAGGACATCTAATTAACACCGGGCAGCAGCTATGTGCTGGTCATGTTTGCTGTGGCTGCTATATTTTCCTAGTTGAACATATCCAGCCCTTGATTGGAGGCTCTGTTCTGTTGAAAACAGTAAAATAGTCGTCGTGGCTGGGAAATAACAGATTATACCAACTAAATTTAGCAACCCACTGCAAGAACGCTACAGCTGGTGTTCAGTTTTCCTGACACTGCTGACTCCTGACTGACCGTGGTCACTGTAGGTAGAACAGATTTCACATGACCACGTTTTTCCCTGGAGAGGTTACGGCCTTCCCACTCAATGAGTCACGTTGGGTATGTTAATATTCAAGGTCATACCAGGGATATTCTTTTGCCAAGTATGCGAAGATGCACAGTTCGTTGTGACTTAAAAACAAATGAAGCAGCTTCATGGTATATTGTCTTGCTCTTATTTTAATGTGTGTGTTTTTTTTTCTGTTATACAGGCTCTGGCAAATCAAGTGTGTTTTGTTAACAATGCAGTCATTATTTATGATAATTGATATGTTTAAGTTATTGATTTGTATCGTGATGCCTTTGCTTGTCTGAAAAAGTAATTTATCACCAATGCAATGTGGAAATACTTCAAATTTTGTATGTTTGGTCACAGATTAACACGCACTTAACAGTAACTGCTAAGCCTTGTGCAATCTTTCTTTCGTCATGTCTCCCACAACAACCTGTACTCCTTGTTTAACAGTAAACCGTTCAACATGTCAGGCACATAGACATTCCTGAGCAAACCTCAGAATCCGCAGCTTTAGTATTAAAATGTGTGTAAATGTAAGAGATAACGCTTGAGTTGGAACAGTGGAAATAAGCAGATCTGAGAGGAGCTTAAAATGAAGGATTTTCGTTTGCGAGGTCCTCTGTGGGACGACTGTGGGATGATGTAAATGTGTGTGTGTGCGCATACGTAATCACTGAGTGCTGCTGCTGGTGGGGTGGCAGCATCGTGCACCCCTTGCTTATGTTCCCTCAGTGGCTTTACCAAGATTTATCCAAGGCACTTTGTCTAAGCTGCATCCGCAGACGCAGACTTACAACTCAGCACACCTCTCACCCACATGCACTTCACTGACGGTCTCAACAGACAGTGGACCACAGTATGCAATTATTGCAGGACGGAGAATTTTACGTCTTTGACAAATCAGTTATTCTGAAATGTCGATTTAAATAATGGTTGAAAGGTGGCTTTTATTTGTTGTTTGCAAAGAGTGGGGATGAAAAACAGAACGATGTTTATTTGGCCCACTGAAAAGACGTGAAGTATCGCAGCCTCCCCTTCGCCTCAATGTGTGTTTGTGTGCGCAAGAAGAAGAAAAGACTGATCCGGTGCCTCTGGTGTCCGGAGGAAGAGAAATTTGGAAACTTTGTTTGGATATAAACAGGAAATACTTGACTCTGTAGAGGAAGCTTTTTGAAGTGCTTTCCTGGCATAATGTGTGTATGATTGAGGAAATGACATGAATCCTACTTCCAACACAAGTGTAGCAGGAACACGATATGTGCTTGTGAAGACTAAAAGAGCAGGAGCAAGCAAAACCATAAAACAAAAAAAAAAAAAGCACAATTTATGATGACAGCTACATCCAGACTGTCACTATTAGTTGTCATTATTTCACGATTGTTTTTGCATTTGCTCTGTAGCTCTGATGTTTTGTGATGATTAAGACGTGTGTCTTGCTCTGATTCGTTTGCTTGTTCTCTACGAAGTTTGGTGAAGTCAAATAGATTTATCTTATAATTAGCAAAAGGAATTCCATTCTTTCTATGAAAGTAAAGCATCTTGTGTGAAAGAATCACACTTCATCCTCTATGATCCTGGGATATGTGGTCTTTATTGTTTGTTCTCACTCAAGTGCTGTGGAAACTTATCTGGTATATATGCTGATCATCATATTCTTCTGTCTTGATGCCTTTTTGTTTTTATTATTTCTTCTAAAGTGTATGATCTTTTGTGAGACTACGTTTCGTTTTGTTTGGATGTAACGCTTGCTATTTGATTGTGTCTGACCAACAGAAATACCTTAAATGTATGCTGTGTTTGATTTGTATAGAAATGTGTTTAAAGAACAAAGTCCATTGTAAGAAGAAGAAGAAGAAAAAAAAAAGAGCAGGCCTAATGAAGCTAACAAAGTGTGGCTCGTGGTCGTATTTGTATTAAATAAAGTTTCTAACTGAATACATTTACGTGTTCTGCATTTTTCTCATCTCCAGTCTGAGTCAGAGTCAAAAAGTTCAACAGTAACCACAGGCTAGTGGAGTAACTTTTAACCTGTTGTTTATTTTTAGCAGTACATTAATGATATTAATGTTATTGCAGTTTCAGTCCCTCAGGTCGTTCCAAATTTCAGTTTATTGAAAACCCCGAACATTAAAGATTGATTAAAAACATTCATTCAGGGTCACTGGTATTTGTTCAGCTTGTAATTACAATCGTTGTTTTTTTTTCCTCTTTAAGGGTTAACTGAGCCTACGCTAAAGATCAAATAGTTCTTACCATTTGTCTTTGGAAAGTTTTCTAAGTCTCAGGAGTGAGGAGAAAGGAAAATTCATCCACACCCACTTTACATAACCTCGTCTTTCTCTGCCGTGTATGAAGCCAGCCAAGTTTGTACTATTTATGCAATCTTGTTGTGTTGCTGTTGTGTTTTTTCACATCCGTCTCTTCATGTAGGCTTATTAATCATCATCAACTGCTCATAAGAGGAAGTGAGCCTATGTGTAAAGGTGTTTTATCAGGATTTACTGCCTAAACAACAACATATTCCTCTGATAGTTGACCATACTGAGTGTGTCAGATGCTGTCGCTAAAATAAAAATGACATTTTATCAGTTTTAATGTTAATTTACAAACACTTCTACACAAGACATTCACAATAAGTACAAAAAAAACCTCAACTTGATAATCAAATATATTAGATACAAATCCTGCTTCTTGTATTCAGGTATCTTTGGCAAGTGGCTTACAAACTGCAGTATAACAGCGGAATCTATAACTGAGGATCTTCACACAGTGGCACTGCGTGGGTAAAATAGCTGCATCACAGCAAATCAGTAAAAATATGATTTTGTCATCATTTCCTCCAGTCCAACTCTCTGGGAACAAACTAGTCCTCCTTGATACTCCAGCTATCTGTGGGTCTGTGACGCATACAGGAAGACGCCGCTGAAGGTGGAGAGGATCTCCCTGGCCTCGGTGGTGGCCAGCTGGCCTCCGGTCCTCACCAGGCCCACGCGGTCTCCTTTTCTCAGGGGGAGGATCAGACTGAAGGACACGGTGCCTCCGCAGCCGCAGTCAGCAGAAGCCGAGCCCCCGTGCTGACCAGACGCCGGCCCTGCAGAGCTCTGCAGCCTCTGGACGCTGCGGTTAGACACTGACAGGACAGCCTCAACACGGTCGCCCGGCTTCGCAGTCAGCAGGCCTGAAATCAGATATCGGCCGTCCATCGGCACAGTGAAGGTCCCTGTAGATGAGAAAGGCAGTGATTTAGTCTGGGTTTGATCAGCAATGCAAATTTTGCAGTTCAGTAAATCAAGTCAGAAATCTTGTGTTTGTTTTTGGGCTCTGTTTGCTTATCCAGCAATGAACTGATTCTACTGACAAGTTTTTACTTTGCAGCTAAAGCCGGATGTGTTCTTCTTCTGTACCACTGTAGTTTTTTCTTTCTTCTTCTTCTTTTTTTTTTTTTTAATTAATCTGACTTCCACTATTATTCATCAAATTATCACTAGTGCACACACATTGAATCACAGGTGAAAATAGTCCCTCTGTTTGATTACAGGCCAGCTCTGGTCATTGATTAAAGCCCTAAAAACTCATCTCAGTGTATCAAAGTTATATATTTACAAGTTTTAAAATGAAATGAATCTCTTTTTATCTTAAAATGCAGCAGATGTAACTCTGCACTGTTGCTAGGATCCATGAAGTCCATGCCTCTCTCCAGCCAGCCCCTCCTACTCATTTCAACTGGAGCACACCAGCTCACCTATAACTCAGCTGTAAATACGGTAAAACTACTCTACACAATAGCAAGTTGTAAGATTGTGATAATTGAGCTATACACGTTTGAACCAGAACCCAATTCTGAAGAATAATCATAACACAGAAAGCGCCACCGTGCAGGTTGACAGGATTGGTTCTTTAGGTTATTACATATAAAACTCTGGAAGACTGAATCTGTTCTTCAGACTGCCATCGGTACATCACCACTTTAAGTTGGAAACCTGCAGCAACGGCTTATTTCACTCATGATTTGTCTTCTGGCATATAAAAACCACAATATGGACACACTAACAAAGTTAATAAGAATACACACTCACACACACACACACATATATATAATTAATATATATTTGTTTTTAAAGCTTTTTGGCCCCTTGTATGACTGGAAACACACTGTAACCACAATGCTGACATCACTCTCTAAGTAGATGTGATGGAACTATTAGCAAACACCTGCATATTTGCAGTACACATCCTGCAGAGAAGATTTCCTTCGAAGTCATGTTTCTAACTTGGCAAGTCGAATATTGACTTTCCTTTTAGCTGTGTTTAGGTCTCCACCAACTGCTAAGGAAACAGGCCTTTTAGCTGCTAAATGCTCCATCAGGTTCATTAGTTCTAACTTTGTGTGTCTTGTGCTTGATGTTCAGTGGATTTCATTGACTGAAAACTGCTTCCTGCTGCATCTGGAAACGACACTGATGAAAGCTATGAGCTGATAGATGCTAAAACTCTGCAGAGCTGAGAGGAACCACAATCAGATGACAGCTCACCTTTGACAAAGGCACAATGATTTGACCCAGGATTCATATAAACTGTTGGCCAGTAAACCTCTATGTCTCATTAATTGGATACAATAAAATAAACACAGAGGACACCAATCCACATTCAGTTTCACTGTCAGGACTATCCATTCACTGTGGTAGTCCTGACCAGGCTCATACCAAACATGCTGGACCCAGTTCAGCAGAACAAATTCATCTTGGTCTCATCCGCCATCTCCAGTATTCATCAGGCTTCTTTTAATGTTCTGTAGCAAAAATTATTTTTGCAGTTTTGTGCTGAAGAGCAAACAAGGGTTCTTTTCTTGGATAGCATCTGTAGAGGTTAAAGTTATTTTTTGTGCATTTTCCCTCACACTGTAGAAGCTGTCACAGAAACTCTGTGTTCTTCAGATCAAACACAGCTCTTGCTTATCATTCCATATCACAGCAACAACAAACATGACATCTTTTTCTATCAAATCTGTCTTAGCTTTGTATTGAGGCACCTGTGTGGGGATTGTAGTGTCCACCGTCGTTGACGAGGACCCTGTTGAAGCGAACGATGCCAAAATCTCCAGAGAAAGGCTGCTGTGTGAGGCCAGCGGAGAAGGACAAGGGATCTGAAAAGGCGCTGTTGTCCACTGAAACTGGATCCACAAACATGTATGTAAGTCAATCAGTATTTCATTTCAAGGGTGAATTACCATATGTGTACTTCATTGAACTGAACACAACCGAATACTTAAACCTCTTCATCTCTTTTTTTAAATTCTTGTGCTGGAGTTTATGACAATTAACTACTGAATCAAAGTTCTACCTGGTGCATCAGCTGGAGCTTGATACATGGGGTTCCACGGCATCTTTGCTGCTGCAGGAGCTACAAGGTACAAACAGTTGAAGGAATGTCATTGAATGTCTTTCGGTGATGCCATTTTAATCACCATTTTTTTCAAATTTGCCATGCAAACAAGGGCAAAACTTTCTGGTGAGTGCCTGCAGACAAGTTAACATCCTCCCACAATACTCCCACGCGTCCTTAAACAAAATACATCCAGTTGCCACTCTTGTCACACTCCTAGGCTGTAAATTGTTAACAGCTTTTTCCCAATTTTTCTACACTGATGTAGAATGGCAAAGTCTGCAGATGCACGCAATGTGATAATGAACTGCTGCAATACCTCGGCGGCTGGTTGACGGAGGTCTGAAAGATGCAGGCTGCAGAGGAGGATAGCCTGTAAAATAACAAACAAACAAAAAAACAGATTTCAAACACATTATGTTTTATCGTGATTTGAAGAGAAGGGCCAGTGAGTGCTCTTACAAGAGGCAGCTGTTTGGTTTTATATTTGAACATTACAGCAAAACACTGTGGGATTGTTTCTCAGAGAAGCTAGAAATTAAAACAAAAGCGGGAATGATCTACACTCCATAATTTTGGTTTTACCAGTGGCTTTTTGAATCAGTTTGATCTGCATTCAACTGTTTCAGGACGACGGGAACTCCAAGCAAATTTAGGTGTTTACAGTTTCATCAGGCCTTGAAATGGATTTAAACCTGCTGGTATAATATACAACAGAAGTGAGCTCACCCCCTGTGCAACATCACCTAAATGGGAAATGATTAAAAATAGTACAGCGATACAGCTAATTAATCACCTCTAAGTTTAACAATGGGTTATTGGCGCTTAAGTTCAATTAAGACATCATGGTTTAGTTTTACAGCTATAAAAATACAGACTCAACAGCAGGAACTCAATGCATTAAAGTCAGTACTCCTGTCATTACTGAGATTCAAACCTTTCATCTTTTCAATACTCTGTACGTCCACCTTTATGTTTGATGGAGAGAATTTTTCTCAGCTGCGTCTTACTGGAGGGCTTGTGTTGCGCTACCTTTTCCTTTGAAATACTCCGAAGACAACTCACTTTTTTCTTCTTTAAAAACTCCTCTGTGATTTTGTGCTTTGGATGGCTATCATGCTGGACTATTCCTCCTCTAGCAAACTTCTCTAGACCAGGAGTCTTGTTGTCAGCCAGTATTTTGGTTCATCTACAGACTTTCATAGTGCCATCTATAAACACCTTGTGGACTCATGTAGCTCCATATCCCCTCCTCTGTGCTTCACTGTCAGGACTATGCATTCACTGTGGTAGGCAAATTCATCTTAGTCTCATCAACCATCTCCTTGTATTAATCTGGCTTCTTTTTATGCTCTTTATCAAAATTTATGGATGAAGAAAACCCCCTGTGCCAAGTGTGAAGCAGCTGCCTATCTGCCATTCAGAGCTACACTGTGTCAGTGGTGAACTGTCTGTGGTTCCACTTTAGGAGGACAACCACTGTAGCTCTGATTCTATACCTCCTGATTACTGTCTTAACTATGTTTTGCCTGATTTTTAGTTGGTCGGGGATCTCACAATCATGTTTTTAGGTTCCTTCTTTTCCACGTGGAGCCGTGATGCAGACAGGTGCACTCTGTATTTTTAATACCGACATCAACTATTTGTTTTTGGCAATTTAGAAAATAATTCTCTGCTAGCCTACAATCGCTGTAATTTGATACAGTTGTGAATCACTTGACATTTAAGTGATATTTTCCAGAGGTGTACTCGCTTCTGTTGTGTAATATTGTATTCCATTTGAATCTACAACTGATCTTTTACATGCTTTTCTGCTGTTCTGGTCAGTCTGTTGTAGCTGTAAGGTGGTTAGCACCGTTGCCTCGCAGCTAGAAGGACGCCCGGGATCTTTCTGTGTGGAGTTTGCATGTTCTCCCCGTGCAGCGTGGGTTCTCTCCGGGTTCTCCGGCTTCCTCCCACACAGTCCAAAAACATGTTGAGGTTAATTGGTGATTCTAAATTGTCCATAGGTGTGAATGTGAGTGTACTTGGTTGTCTGTCTCTAAGTGTAGCCCTGTGATAGACTGGTGACCCATCCAGCCCCCTGCAACCCTAGTGAGGATTAAGCAGTGTATAGATAAAGGATGGAAGGATGGTCAGTCCATTTTAATTGTATGCACTTTATTCAGCTAGACTGTGCAATTTTTTTTTCACTCTGCTCTATTTTGTATTCATATTTTACATGTCTATTAACCTTAGCCTGCAAACTTTCTAATAAACTTTTTTTGCTTGCTTCATGTAGTTGTGCTATTTTATTTCCAAATAAAACCATCTGCTGTATGACTGAAATAAAACCAACCAACAGTAAGCACTGACACCATTGAAATATATATATATAATGTAACAGTCTGTGCTTGGAGAAACAGGAATAATTCCGTACCAAAGTCTAACCATATGGCTGAATTGTCAATTTTGAATTTAAGTTTTGTTTCCTGTGTTAAGATTTCAGACTAATTGGTATTTAGATGACTTGTTCTCCCACACTGTCAGTGAACAGTAACAGTAGAACTAACGTAGGCTGTTTTTCTATTCCTTTCTTGCCAAGTAACATGGAGGCCAGAACAAAGGCTTTGTTTTGTTGTTTGATATGCTATTTAATCTTCATGTATACAGCCCCAGTTAGTTCAAATCCAGGACTATCAAACTCATTTCTGCCGTCTCTTCTATTCGATTACATATGGCATCCATTAAATGCCCTTTGATACAGACATCCTAAAAGTGGGTGTACACAGATAACTGCTAAAAAAAAAACAGAACAGAACATACACTTGGTTCTGAATGTTGTTGTTGTTGATCAGTTTAGATGACTCTATCTGACGTGACTGTGAGCTGACTGCTGTGAGGCACACCATACGTTTCCTGTATTATGTCACACATGTGGTAATGCTGGCTCCCTTCAGCGCCACATGGAGCCAGAATCATGACAGAGTGCTTCTTCTTGTCATCGCACTGATGACAGATTCCATTTTCATTCATAAATGTCACTCGTTCTTCGTGCATCAGAATCTGATGTAACATTTTAGAACAGGGCCTGGAAAAAGGCATCGTAGATGTTTAGTACCTGAAGGGTTTCCGGTAAAATACTTACTGGACGCCTGAGTGCTGGAAACAACTCTGTGTTTTTTTTGCTCCTGACATTTTTTTACTCACTGTGGGATCATTTTTAATTGTAATATGAAGTCCTGCACCGCTATGGAAACAACACAAGCATGACTAGAAGGAGAGAGGACTCAGAAGTGTATTTTTATGTAGTTCAACACAGTTATAATGTCATAAATATTTCTAGATTAAATTTTTAAACGATTATTTAAAGAAATGTAGCAGTTCATCTGAAAAGTCCCTGAATATTTGTCACGTGACTGTTGGTTACAGCTGAGTCACTAGTGGCTTCTCAGGTGTTTCCAGGAGAAGACCATTTTCTACAGTTTGCTAATTCCAGCAAACACTTTGTTTTTGACTTTTAAATGAAAAATGTAGGGGAAAAAAGGGGTTTTGGTGGATTTGGAACATTTTCAAGATTCGGAAAGAACCAGTAGTCACACGTAGTTACTTCTGCTACTGTTGGAAAGTTGAATTTCTTTCATTTATTTATTTTTTTTTACATTTCTGGCACTAATGAATGATGCAGTTTTGGTGATTTTTCAGGATAAGATGCTTTTAAACCTACTGGTCCACAGGGATAGAAGAGCTTTTTCTTTTTCTACCTTAAAAAAAAATCCTATTTAACAATTACTATTCCTGAAACAGAAAGGATTATGGAAATGAGAGGACAGTTTATTAAAATGTTAGACATGTACAAAGAAAATTAGAAAAAAAAATAAGAAAATGATCACTTCCTATGTAATATAATGTACAATGCGTTGTTGATTTTCCTGGGGACCGAAGCATTAAGCCTTGAGAGTAAAGGTGTATCTTTCTACTATAAATATGAAATAGTTCTGTGTATGATTTTATATGACGATCTAAGCGAGGAGACAGGAAGCAGGAATGCAGTTTTTTAGACCCAATGTAAGATCAAGTTGACAAAGCAGTGAACAACTCACTTTATCCTCCTTCTTCCCTGTGCCTCTATTCTTATATAACATTAGGTAACTATAGTCTGTTTTTCAGTGGTGCGTATCTACCTGCATACTGTAATTTCATTTAATGCATTGCTGGTTTTGTGCAGTAAATACATGTGGTCTTGGTTGAAACTAAAAGAAAACCTATTGTAAATTTTCGGCCTTCACACCTATTAGAAAATAACACCAACACCTTCCTTCTGCATTTTCAGCTGCAGATTCGAATCAAAGGTCATCTCGATTAGCACTACTCACCCGGCGCTCCAGCGAACCCTTTGACAGGCATGCGAGACGAGTCCTCAGAACCTCTTCGCACAGTCACCCTGCGGATGTACCCCGGAGGTCCTGCCTCTCCCGTCTCCACCACAGGCCTTATGGGAACCAGCGGCAGACTGGGGCGGCCCGGTTGATGGGGACTGGAGGGCTGGCTGGGTGGACTGATCATGATGGTGTGTGTGTTGGGCTGAGCTGGTTGAACCGGAATGTACGGCTGCCTGGGGCTGGAGGGCGGTGGAGGGATGTTGAGGGGGATCAGGATTTGTTGGACTCTGGTTCTGGTCGGAGTTGTATCTGGCACAGAAGCAGGCCTCTCTGGTCTTAAGGTCATTCCTTGGATATTTAAAGACAAAGAAAGACAACGACAAGACTGTTAATGTAGAATTTACGACATCTCCTCTCAAGCACAAGACAGTTCTGTTTACAACAGCTGAGTTTTGGAGAATACAAGCCAGCTAATGACTTTTTGCTTGTAAATCCTGTTTCCTCCATCACATTCAGAGCACACCTCTGTCCTCTCCTGCAGCTTTTCCTTTAATCACTGGTATTCTGATGACATGCCAAATTAGACCTGGCTGGCACAGCACCTCTGAGCTTTTATTTTTTCTTTTGAACCATTGCCATTATTACCCTTCATAAAAGCAAAGTGGGCGGTCAGCATGAGTTTCAGGCATCGAGAACCATCTGAACAGAAACTACTTGGCTGCTGGCCAGACTCCCCGAGGGCACAGACATCGCCTGGGCCTCTGAGGTGAGAGCACAGACACTGCGAGAGTGTCCTGGGGACATATCACAAAAATAATTACAGTACCTGCTTTGTGTCAGCCCCTTCTCACAACCAGCTGTCAGACAGATTTGTATCACACTATTTAAAATTCAGTTAAGAGCTTTGTATATGAAATAAATGCTTTGATGCTTTCTGTTTCTGTATGTGTAGTGGGGTTTAAACCTTGTGGCGCGGAGGTGCGACATGTAGTACATGTAGCAGGATTGCAGTAATATCATTTCGCTAACTCACATCAAGGAAATGCCTACTTACTCCAAATCACTGGACAGTTAGACTTGGCAGAAAAGGCTCTGCTCTTTCAGGAAGCTCTCAGAGAAAACAAACAACAACAAGGATTCTACAGGGAGGATAAACATATTAAAGGTGGAGTCTGCGATTCTTAAAGCAGATATGTTGATATTTACTTAGTTAGCATATTTAGATAACTGTCATGTACCAGATTTACCATACCTCTTTCTGGAATTGTGGTCGATCAGTCCGAACCTCTTTGTTTGTTTCCCATTTACTGAGCCAGGGCTCTTTGTGAACACAGGACTGTTGTTTTCAGTGCACACAGAGTGGACAGCCAGCAGACCATGAGGAGATAGTCACAGATTTTGACTGAAAAGTACACTGGATTAGAACTGCATACTCCACCTTTAACTCTTACATACTGAGTTTAGAGATAGCAGTAAATACACATGAATGTCAAACACCCCCTCCTGTAAAAACTAAGTATTTTATCTTGCTAACATGTCTGTGTGCTGTTTTAATATAGAAACTCTCCCAGAAAAAGAATAAAAATATAGAAGGTCACATTCTGCAAGCTGACAAGATTGGCTCTTAGGTTTGTTGCACACCCTGAACTGATGTTTTAGAGGACGATTATTATTATTTTTTTATGTTTGAAGACATACTACGAAATAAGCAGTTAACACTATGGATGAGCTTTTCCACCTTGAAAACTGCATTGCACCGAAAACATCCTCAAAAACATAGATTGAAACAAACCTGAGAGCCAATCCTGTCAGCTTGCAGTATGCGGCTTTTTATATCATTATTCTTTTTCCGATAAAGTTTCTAGTTTGAACATGTGAGGCTGAAGTACTTGCCACTGTGTGGCGAGAAGTAATTTTGTAGAGGTGAGCTGGTGTGCTTGAGGGGTGGGGTGAGTGGAAAGTGAGACGGGGCTGCGTAGATCTGCACCTGCTTAAGGAAGTAACAGTACAGATCTTACCTATTTTAAGGCAGGGAGGGATTCTTTTCATATTAAAAAAAACCTTTTTATATGTAACCGTGACTCACAGAGATGGGTTTTGAGAGGTTTGATTAATGACTGGAGATGAACTTTAAATATTCACAAAGCCAACCATCGCAGCAGCTTCAGCACATCAAGAAAGCTGGAGCGATGAGGAGTGCTGCAGTAGCAATCACTGTAGATGTGATGACGTAGGTGGTGTAACAGGGAGAGGTGTGGGCTATAAAGGCCACATTCTATATCTATATGTATCCAATTGAATGTTAATGGTGGTCAGCGGTCATAATCAGCCATGGACGCTGACGCATTAAGAAAACAGCTGACAGTCTATAAACTGATACGAGTGCCTTCTTCAGTGCTCTGTGTGGACAGTGCTCCACTGACAACAAGACTTGAGTGCAAGACAATCTTACAGTTCTGTGAAGCTCAGATTCAGCACTGTGTACTGTTTAAGCTAAAGCTCATATCAATATGTTAACATGCACTCATGTCAATGTACAACATGCTGATGTTTAGGAGACAGTATTCAGTCATCTTCTCAGTTTAGCATGTTACTGTGCTTATTTTTGCAAAGTGAGACCAAGACATTTTATCGCTTTTATCGACTATTCCACATGGAAATATCACTGAATTCACAGCACAGCCAGTAAGTCATGTGTATGCTGAGTCTGTCAGACAGGTTATAAAAGCCATAGTCCAGTGGCGCACAGCTGCAGCTTGGAAATTTTATGGAGTGACTGCTGGTTAACAGGTAGCCTTTATAAACTGTGCTTCAGTTACCAGTGTATCCTCATTCAGTTGTCTGATAATAGAAATTGGAAATTGTGTATCTGAAAACAGCTTTATTGGGAATTTAGCTTCATTAAAAATACAGTATATATGAGCACAGAGAGCAGGAAAGAAGCAAAAGTTTAAGCTCCATGACTATTTCTTCTTCTGCTGGTACATAGCAGTTCAGTAAAATTCTTCCTGGCTTGTAATCCTGAGAGGTTATCTAGGTGTGGGGGGAACTGAGCAACGGCAGAAGTAAGTGTCATCATATCTTAAGAGCTTTTAGCCGACACCTCCATGTCTGTGATAACCAACATTTGTACAGGCTGTGTATAATCATTTATGAGGGTTGCAAATCTGGCTACAGTCACAAATATTATACTAAATCAAAGTTTAAACGTTAACTCAACTTCACAATCAGTCAAGGATAAATCCTAAAGTACCTGGAAGCAACTTTATTGCATTAGTCTGCCTGTTAGTTTGGATTATGAACGTAATCAGCCACTCTGTTATTATCAAATAAAACATCATCAACCATCAACCAAATTCTTCCTTCTTACTGTGAGTGATACCACAAGCTACTCAGAAACCACATGTATAATCAAAAACAAATTAAACCCAGCAATCATGTTGTACTGAGATAATCAGAAATCTCTTCTTCATTTCCTCCCCATGCCTGCTTCAGGACGCCGGTTGGCTGAGTGCATATTTCCCATGAGCTCTCAGCCTGTCTCACTGAGGGGGCAACCGCAAAGTCGAAAAACACACAGAGTAAGGCGCACACATTCACGCGTGTGCTGGTGCAACCAAGAGCATCACCAAAACCAGATGTTATTGCTCACAAGCAGACAGGGACGCTGCAGGGGGGGAGGGAGGTGGAGAGAGTGGTGCTTTAGTCAGCCGCTCTTGCGCAGAATTGGGTGACAGTTCGTGAGTGTTCAGAAGTGTCTGAAAGCATCACGGAATATTGCAGCAGACAGACTGATCACGCAATGGAAAATGGTGTCAGGGGGCACGGAGCAGAGCAGGGCGTGGTGCACATACAATGATGCATCACTCGCAGTCTGACATACATTTTTCTTTTATTCTTTCTTGCTATGCACATGGACACAATTTCACCCTCCACCCCATTTTCCTCCAGTGCTATTAATGATGGGAGGCTCAAATTGTGCACTGCATGGCAGACCTCTGGGACTCCTATTGTGTGTATGGGGCTCTTCTGAAGACTTCCAGATGGGCTCCCGGGTCAGAGATGGAAACACCTCAGCTCACAGCTTCAGATATCTCAGTCAAAGCGCTCGCTCACTATTCGGGAGGTGACTAAATATATACAGTGTGTGAGTGTGTGTGTGTGTGTGTGTGTGTGTGTGGTGGTGGTGGTGTCGAATACAATTTTCCCTTCTTTCTCAGCAGACAGCCTTTGACTTCAAAAAGCCTTTTATGTCTTGTTTTTCTTGTATTTCCTCATCACAGTAGACAGTTAATCTTACTGCCTGTCTCTCCAATATAAAGTCAGAATGATCAATTGCAATGCATTGATCCATGAAATCAAAGCCTTTATTTTATCCCTACTTTAAAACAACTGCTTTTTTAAAAATTATTTTCTGAAGGCCTCAGTGTGGATATACACTTACTGGACAGGGAGGAGAAAGAGAGAGAGAAGTCCTCTGGCTATCTTGGAAGGACAAATTGAAAAAAAAGAAAAATAGCACAGAAGGAGAGAGCAACGAGGGTGTAAAGAGAGAGCAATTCAGAGATGAGAGACCGAGAAATAAATGACAGGGATGCGATTTGAGCTAGACTAGGATCATCTCCAAAAAAAAAGAGGAGTAGGAAAAAAGCAGACTGAGAATCAAATGAGAAAATTCAGCACAAGAAGGCTGATTAGTCACCATGTGAATGGGGAACAGCATGCTCAGACGTTTTTTTTTTTAAGCAGAAGCACTTTCCATATTTCTACATTTCCTAATAACCGCTATTAAACTAGTTTGCAGCCATTAAGATGTTAAAGTCTCTTGCGTAATTTCTAAATAACTGCGTTACAGTCATTTCTGCTTAACCACAACTCCCCATCAGAGCGAAAAACAGTAAGAAACAAACACACACAAGTTGTAGTGGCCGACCTCTGCTGCAGCAGCTGCTGTGGGCGAAGCAGAGCCAACATTTTGTAACTAAAGTCACACAATTCCATTCAGCAGTCACACTGAGTAAGGGCAAAGCTATTCCAGTTAATCTTTCAGTTATGTTATTACAACACCTCATCTGTTTGCAGCCTCCTCGGGGTCTTCATATGACTGTGTGGAGAATATGAGCTCAAACACAGAGAGGAAACATTTCAGTAGGCTCCCAACCACCACCACACCCACCCAGCTGGGATTTCTAGTGGATATTTTATCTCTTTTTAGACTATTTCTCCCTTTTCCAAGCTCGAGGAAAGCATTAAATCTTGAGCCACACTGCCCAACTCGCTCTCTTGTGGGATTTAGGATACGAGCATTAAGAGAAAATGAGATTTGCCCTTAAAGTAAGAGTTGGACATTTTTGGAAGTAAGCTTATGCACTTTCTTGCTGAGATTTAGATGAGAGGATTGATCAAACTCTCATGTCTGAACGGTAAATAGCAAGCTGCTGCCAGCAGTTTGCTCATTGGGGTTAGAACAGGGTAACGGCTAGTCTGGCAAAACACGCCAAGCAGCACCTCTAAAGTTAACAAGTTGTATCTTGTTTGTTAAAGCAGTATAAAACTGACATTTCAGTGACCATTCAGCCTTTTACATGAGGTTATGCGCAGAACTATTTCTTGGCCAGAACCAGTTACCAGGCAACAAGTGGACACTCCAGGAAGCTGCTGTTAATTTGTCTTAGAGCTTCAGAGATGGATTTTGTTACGTTTGGACAGAGCCAGGCGAGCTCTTTTCCCCTATTTCCAGTCTGCGATCTAATTTAAATAAGCCAGCTGCTAAGGGGAGCTTCATATCTACATTTGCGTGGTATATGCATATTTTACAGTCTTGCTGCAGTTCATGAACTTCTGTGTGATTCAGTGCAGCGCTTAGGTGCAGTATGAGCTGGTTTTTGGTTTCGGAGAACTCATGACCACGAATGTTTATAGTCATTTCCAACAGCCACTCCAGAAGTTGGAGTAAAAGGTCGGCTGTCAGAGGGGAGAGAGGTGATATCGTTTAAAAACTGAGCTAACGGCGCACATCAGGCATCAGGTAATCTCCACATATGGGTTGCACATATGAAAAATGCTACAAATAGAGGAGCTAATGAAAAGGCCGGGCTACAGGGAGGAGTAGCTTACCATATCGTGCTACTCTCTCACCTCAGCCGGCCAATCGCTGCGTGAAGTGACTGTAAACGTCGGATCGTCTGTCTCAGAAAGCTACAGAGAATGGTCAACACAGACACCCTATATCCAACAACGAAAACGTGGGGAAGGGAGGGGGTTTCGGACACTATCCAACCATACAACACACAGTTGGCAAAGTGTGTAAATCCTGTTGAATGATCCGTCGAAGGTGATGAAATCAAATATCAACTTAGAAATGACTAATGACAGTACTTGACAAACACTGGATGGAAACAAAAGACCTGCATGCCTTCCATTTCTCTACACCACAGCCATTAATCCATCTGCTCGGCTTTTCTGCACAGCTCCTAATCACACCATTGTTTTGGACGATGGTGTAAGAAAGGGAGGCACCGATGGTGGGGCCCCACTCATGACATCACAGCTGAGGGTAGTCGAAGCATCTGGTCCTGGGTGTGGAGCTCTGCTTCTCCCCTCTCCATCAAGACTGACTCCAGCAGTGAGTCAGGTCCCTTAATGAGGACCAGACTCCACACATCAGGCTGAGGTCACCCTACGGGAATCTCTGGAGGTTGGTATGTGTACATGTGTGAGGAGAAAGAGAGGAGGGAGGGAGGTGTATTGTGTATGTGGACTAAAAGACTGGGAACCAAGGCTGAGGTCTGTGGTAGGAATGAAAAAGCTATGTCACGGTGAAAGAAAGAAGACCTCACAACTCAACATGCTCATAAAGGGATTAATGGGAACAGTCTGCTCGGGTGTTCTGACATTTACATTAGAGAGCAACGAGGCACGAAACAGTGCGAGTAAATCATCACAGCAGTTGAGTTGGGCTGTAAAAATTTCATTTTCTATTTACCTGTCTCATTCCCTATATTAAAAAAAAATAGGAAATTCTTGGGACAACATGAATCTAAGTCACAGGAAAGGGCCTCTGCTTGTCGGTGCCAGGACATATTGAATGACATACTCAAGGCGAGCATGGGAGGCCCCGTGAACTCGTGTCCTCCCACTCCGGGAAATACCCTGTGGCCATTCATGGGATCTGATCCTTCCCTCCAAGCCTCCATGTAAACCAAGCAAGCAGAATGCATTATATGGAGGATTATCCACAGGAAGTGTTTGTGTTTACACAGATGGTAATCACACTCAATAAACTCATGGTAAAAGTTATGGAGAAAGCTGAAAAAGATAGCGATTTTGACTAAATCCTGTGCTTGACTGCACTAATGTAGGAATCCACTGAACATTATACAACTAATTGACTTTCAAGCAGCAAAACTGTGCCATAATGTGAATCTAATTGCTGTTATGATATGCTATCACGAAGCTCTACCCACTAATGAAGCAAAGTCCACAAGCTAGTCCAGGCAGTCAACGTACACTTGTGACTGCTGTTACATGATGTTTCTTTCTCACTGCTACATACTGTACATCTAGTACACCCTTTTCATTATGTTGTTGTACTTCAGCTGTCAGTCTTACTCTTTTGCTGCCGTACAGCTCACCTGAAAGCCACTTGCTGCTGCTGCTGCTCATTTGGTGAGCACCATCCCCATGCCAGGTTTCACTTTCAGACTCCAAGGGTGTCAGTATTCTCCAAACAAACTGTTTGTCAGATGGTCGACTGTGTCTCTGATACCCCTTCTACCCACATCTTTCCCAAGTCAGAATTGGGGGCTGTGTCTGACAATTTCTGTAACTTTTTGAAACTGATAATCTGACATTCAGGCCACGTTAGCAGCAGCTCAGCTGGTGTGCAGAGATTAGAAAGCAAGCAGAGTTTGAATTTCTCTTTCAAGCTGTTTTTTTCATTCTATACACAGCTACATCAGTCATTTTTGTAAAATGAGTGCAACACTGAATGCCTTCAAGGAAAGACTCTGAAAGTATGCATCGCAATTCCCATATGAGTAATTATTTTGTCTTGACACTCTATGACGCTTTGCAAATGGCCTGAGTTTTTGATGTTTTCGGAAAACACAATGTACTAAGAAGTTAGTTTCAAACATACATGACTATTATTAAGCCATTATTGCCACTCCCCATTCAGTGTCATGTTAAGCTTGTTGCTTCTTTTTGGGGAGTGACCATGTTGAGCCTTGATTATACTCCCTTGTGGATGCTCACACGAATAGATGCAGACACCACAGACATGTAGTTGTTCTAATTATACTGCTTTCTAGTCTGCTTGAAGGATACATTGTCATAGATGTGCAGTAGATCTGCGTCTTTGTATTCCACACATGCACACTACTGACCTTGTAGCTTAGTGGCACAAAACTGCAAAGGGGCTTTCTTGGGAAAATGTATTTAACAAGGACCCTTATAGACCCTTGTGAAAAATATAACACTGGCCTTAAGGTATGGATGCCAAATATTCTACATTCAAACAATACTCAGCATCACCCAAAAATTTTTACTGATTCCAAAGTGATAAGTATGACCTCTGATTGACTTCTTCATCAAAGTGCAAGCCTAAGATTTCCTTTCACTATCTTGTTTTCTAGACATTACCACCGATAACCAATGAAGTCATCAAGCTATTTCAAAACCAGCGACTTACCTGGCTCTCTGGCAGTGACATCTTTCGAGACATGTTTGGCCATTGCAGACAGCTGTGCCTGGAACCTCTGCAAGGAATTCTGCAGCGCAGCGATTTCTGCCCCATGATTTCCACAGGTGACATTCATCCTGTAGACACAATCCCGCAGACCTCCAACATGTCTCTCCAGCCCATCTTTCAGTTCTCTAATGTTAGTAGAAACTCCATCTAACCGTCCACACACCTGTTCTAGTCTGGCTACACGTCCGTCCACAGCAGAGATTCCATCAGAAACACCTTGTGTGTTCTGTTTACATTGATTCAGTTCAGATGACACCCGTTCACTAAGCGTATCCAGTCTGTTCCTCAGCTCATCCACCTGACGGTTGGTGGCATCAGGTGAAGCCCAGTTATACCGTCCTGGGATTCCAGTGCCAATCTGCTCTGCTTGACAGCATGTTGAGTTTATTCTGTGCATATCCTGGTTGTATTTGCTCAAGGAGTCACTTAACCCAGTAACAGCTCCAGCCAGACCAAGCACATTATCTTGAAGATTAATCAGTCCTCTCTGGAAGTCATCCATCGTCTTCACGCGTCTCTCGTTTCCGACTGACTGCCTTTGAACAAGGTCCTCCAGTTGCCTGAGCTTGTCTGAGTTGGAGCTGACATCTGTGTGAAGAATGTCCAAGTCATTTCTGTACCTCTTGAGGTCCTTCAAAATGTTTCCTAGACCATTGGGCGTAGGTGCAGAATTTTCGCCACCTACAGTAATTCCTGAGGCTGAACATCCTGCAGAGCACAGCTCTCCAACAGCATTAACCTTGTCATCCAAACCCTGCAGGAGGAACTTGTTGTTGTTCACTTCTGCCTGGATGGCATCCACAGAGTCACCAAACATCCCTGGGAAGGAGTTGTTGCTCATTTCGACCAGCATGTTTGTGAGCTGGTCATCCATGCCGTTCAAGCGCTCATCCAGGAGCTTCCGAAGTGCTGCCACTTCATCTGCAATTGTACGGGTCAGCTTCTCTTCAATGTAGAAACAGTGAGTCTCTGCATTTTGTTCTGTTATATTAATACGCGCCTCCAGCTCCTCAATCAATGGGCCAAAATCATTGTCTTCCTGAGGTGCAGACAGGTGTGCCAGCTCGTTGTCAATGCGGACATTTAGGATGCGGTGAGCCTCTGCAATACGATCAATCTCACGCCACAGGTCTTTATGGTCACCGTGGTCTTCTTCCTCGTTGGGTGGATCAGTCTGCCTCTGAGTTCGTACAGGTCCATCTGCAGCAGCCATGTCTAGACGTAGTGCTCGAATCTCCTTTCTCAGATCAGCTTCCTTAGTAGCCACCAGCTGGGTCATCCTGGCCAAAACTTGGTCATGGCTGTCTTCACAGTTCTTCTGCGACGCCTGGATCTTGTCATTGCACGAGCTCTGCACTCTGGCCATCTTTTCGTCCACATTCTGGTCTAGCTCTTTCTTCAGCTTCTCAAATTTCCCATCAATGTAGGTCTGTATAACATCAAACTCCGCTATGGCTGGAGTCTGAGATTGAGAGGCATCCATCAGGACACGTATCTGACCCTCATGACTTGTTGTGATTCCTCTTAGATCTTCCAAAGCCTCATCCTTGCTTTTAAGCGCATTATTGATATCATCCAAACGAGCTTCTATTTTCTCAAGGGCTTTCTCTCCAGCAATCCCACCTCTGGTAGCCTGATGACCATCCAGCACAGCGGGGCTCTCCTCTGTGCCTGCACCCGCAGCACTGTCTGGTGGGCGCATGTTGTTTAGAAGTGTCGCTAGCATTTTCTTTGTGTCATCCTGCAGGTCTGTGCGGAGGTTGGTAGTTAAACCTGTCAAAGCCGACTGGAGATCCAGGACTGTCTGGGATAGACGCTGAACTTCATTTTCCAGAAGACGGACCTTGTCTGTCCCACCATGCCTTGTCTCATGGTGCGCTGTCTCTCTCCTCTCTGGTCCTATAATCATGGAGTAAGCAATTACTTTTCATAAATAGATATGTTTAAATACTTTTGTCTTTCCTGTCTATAAACAGCATGGAATGAAGTTAGCTTTTTTTTTAGTTTACTGTGATATTACATTGTAAATTTCAATAAACTGATGAACACTTAAGATAGAACAGAAGATGATTTCTTACTCTGTATGTGTCTGGTTGTATGTTGATTTGGGGGGACGTAAGGCTGTGTTCCCTGCACTGTTCGTCGATCTGGGGATGGTTTTAAATTTTTACAGTCCGGTCCTTGGTAACCAGGACAGCATCTCCACTCCAACTCTGTGACTGTCTTGTAGGCAATCTTATAGGTGGGTCGAAACCGATTTTTGTATCTGTAACACAAGGCAGAGTAATCAACGTGTTTTGTTTTTCAAAATCCCAAACAAAAATTAATATGAACAGGGAACACTGGACAATATTTCCGAGGTCAAACTCAGGCCATTAGCAAACTGTTATCAGTGTTATTGATTTCTATGCTGAAGCTACTCTGCTATTCCATGTAGAAGAAACAGTTCATATGTTGTTTTTGGGAAGTGTTGACTCCTGTAATCACCAAAACGCCATTTAAAAAAAAAAATTGGACATAGACATTTTTGAGCTTCTCCACCATTTCCCAATACACGAAAGTTTCAGCTTTCTAGCCAAAGAAAACAGTTCTCAAAGAAACAATGGGTGACATCACTTCCCTGAAGGCAGGGGTCGTGTCATGTGAAACATCTGGAAAGTTGGTGTCTGCAACAATCATTTTTGCACATTTCCTAACTGTCACTGATAACTCCACTGCAGCTCAACCAACAGAAAAAAGAAAAGTAAAAGCCTGTGGGATGACAACACTTAACATTCCGACTGCAATCAACGATGTGTCCCTAAATCTCATCCTAAAATGAGATAATATGAGGCCCGCTGTGCTGTTTATCATAACTTGAGGTGTCTGCTCTCAGCTCCAGCTTTTCTTGCTTAAGGAAGAAACTTGGAAAAATGCTCCGGTGACCTAAGAATGATCCGTTTCCAGGATTCTTTTCCACAGCACTGAGGCTCTTGTGCATGCATAAGTGGATCACTAAATTAAACCGCAGATAGCATGTGTTTACAACTAACAATGATTCACAAAGAAAAATCTATTAAATTGCAACACAACAGCTTGAAGTGCAGCTGTTACTCATCAGTTACTGGTACAGGCGCTCCTGTTTACAATAATCATTTACTGAGGAACATAATACTTTGCTTACTGTAAAAGCTTTGGCTTCAGATATGGGTGCTAATCACAGTGTATGTTACTTCAACAAGATTTAATATCATATATGACTTAGAAGGAGGGAAGAAAATGACCGTACTGTGAGGGTGCATGACTACTTAGGTTACACACTTGCATTTTAAACGATTGAGTCTTACGAACTATCACAAATGTTTTCAGTAGACAGATTAATTCAGCATAGAAAGAGATGCATCTGCTATATACCACTTGAATGAATTTTCTATTGATGTAGCTTTCAATTGAACTGATAGTAAAGTCCATTATTTTTAACATATTGTTGATGCAAACAACAACAGGACATTAAGTTGTGTTAAAGGAAGGACTGAATATCTGCTCATGTCAAACTGAAAGCCAATCTGTTAGTAAATAATAATGCATTTGAACACCTAAAAAAAACTAGATGCACAAATATGCATATTTAGAAAGGTCTTTCTGGAGTCTTAATTTGAAAGGGGAAGTCAAACCTTTCTGAAGTAAAAGATAGAAAAGTATTCACTCCAAAAGACAAAAGAGAACTGTCCTAAATATGAAGAAAACTTCTGTGTACATGACAGTTGCAAACTTCTTTATTTGTTCTCATCTCACCATTCCTTGTCTTAGAGAGTTGGCAGTCTTGTTTAGGTAACTTATATACTTTCTTATGATGAGTTCTGGGCTCAGTTCCAAGCATTACACTGGCTGCCTGAATAAGACGTTGCTAAATCTCACGTAGGCCTGATGGTAAGCTTCAAGCTACCAGTGACCCTGAACAAAATGTGTATGGATGGATGCGAGAGTGTCATAGTTATAGTGTGTGTATATATATATAATCTTAAAGACCCCCTCTAACATGTTAACATGTCCATGCGATGTTCTTTATATGCTAGCGGACACATCATGAGCACAATAGATAGTCAACACCATGGCTGGACATTTCCACACTGAAACGACAGTGTACTGTTGACAGTCTCAAAAACAGGTCCAGACTTCCAGACTTCCAGGTACAGCTTGCCATCATGCAGTGTAGAGTAGTTTTAGAGTGTTTGAGCCAATCTGTAGCTGAGCTGGTGTGCTTGAGCTGCAGTGAGTGGGGAGGAAAGTGAGGCTGAGACTTTGTAGATCTGCACAATCTAGAGGATGTATCTATGTAGGGTTACATCTATGCCATTTAAGACAGCAGATATTGATTTCATGAAAAAAAACAAAAACTAAATATGTAACTCTGATACACAGGGCTGAGTTTTTAGGCAATAAATCAACAGCCAGAGACTGACTTTAAACGAAGATTCAATGACTGCATATTCTGGAATTTTTAAAATATCATTCACACAATAGGAAAATACACATTGGTGTTGCTTCTAAACATGTCTATGAAAATGACAGCACAACGTTCAGCCATCTATTTTCTTCCCCAGGCTAAGCAGGACATTCCAGACGGCCTTCTCTACTGCAATGCTTTCCAGCTGCTCCTGTGGCGGTCCCAGGCCAGATGAGATATATAATCCCTCAAAAGAATTGTGGGTCTACCCAGGGGTCTCCTCCCAGCTGGACGTACCCAGAAAACCTCCAGAGGAAGGTGCCAAGAAAGACTATGACATTCCTTTCTTCATATCATTTGTATTTTGTGTTGTAAGTTGTGCAGAAGAGATGGAAAACTCACACATGTGAAAAGGGGGGAATGAAGTGAGTCGTTTAGGGTGAGCTGGTATGAACTGCTTCAACTTGGAATAACCTATGAGGAAGGCTGTGGTTCTCATCAGCTTTACTCTGCATTTCCTAAGCACCTTCTTCAGTGGGCTTTTTTAAGTTGCCTGGAAAGCTGCTCTCTATGGTTCTGCCAATTGAGTTTCATTGAGCCACTGTGAATATTTCTGCCTCTAACTCTCTCTCAAGGAAACATTTTGTATCCAGCCTGTCTCATGCATCCAAACATGCACCCTCAACCCTTTCTCCTGGCTCCCCGGATGCTCACGTCACTTGTGGCTGGCAGTCGGGCTGGTAGGCTGGGCAGGGGGCCACCACGGGCTCCTGGAAGCTCTCCACACTCCCCTGCACGGCGCAGCTCACGTTCCTGTGCACCACATAGGCGCACCAGTTCCTGATGAGGGAGAAGCGCAGATAAACAAGACATATATATACTAAGAAATCTGACAATTATTTTAGAGGATTATCGTGCAGATGCAATGAAAATAGCTGGACTTAGTAACTTGGCAATAAAAAGAGACTGTCATAATGAGATCCATGTGTTTTACTGAACTTTCCATAAAAGCTGCACCATTTCACGGAGGTTTTTCATCAGTTCTTCCGCTAGTTTATTTCAATTTATTAGGAAACATTTGGAAATGCGCTAATGGTCTTCTACAGATGAGAGATTGGCCTAATCAGTGACATTCCAGCGTTTATCTGGATCTTATCACCTTTGGCAGCACTGGCAAACTCGAGCCAAATTTAGTTACAGTCCGATAAAGCAGCCGTGAACTGGCAGCATATGACCATAAGAGGCTAAAATCTTCACCGATCTGAGGTCAATCCGGTCAATGAGAAGTTTGGAACTCATCGCATTTTTATTGGCAGCTGCGCAACAAAAGCGCACAGACTTCACCTTCAGGAGAAGCGTAAAGGGGAACGCCCGCGTCGGGCTGGTTGCGAAGACTTTCTCAGAGACAGCATAGTTTAAAAGTCACTAAAGTTTACAAAAACAAACAAACAGAAGAAAAAAAAAACCCCAACAGCCTACCTGTTTCTGTGCCTGTGTACCACCCCAGTGTGCGCAGAGCCTTGGAATAAGTCATAGGAGGAGGGAGACCCGTAAGTGAGCTGAAAGTTTAGAATCAGTGTGAAAACTGTCCACCGCCAGTCCATCTCTCCATGCCTGGAATTCATCCTGAACAAACGCCTGAAAAATAAATATTTCTAGCACTGAAAATGAGCACTTCCCTGTTATTATCGTGCGCGACGTTCCCGAACAGCAAAAGTTACGTTGCCCCTGTGACTGATCTGACTCCAGTGAGTGAACTTTGGGGAAGTCCACATTCACTGCAACTCCCTTGAAATGACGTCCAGGGCCCACCACACCCTCCTCCCAAAAACTGCCATGAGAGGAGAGAAGAAAAAAAAAAAGAAGCAACTTCCCCCATTCTTTAGGCAAACTTTAGAGCCCAGCTTGAGGCGAAGTTTGGCTTTAATTAAGTTATTCTTGAGAAAACACTGGGTGATCAATTAATGTAAGAGGCTCAGGAGATGGAGCCATCACGAAGCCAGTCAACAGTCAATAATTCACACCTCAGTGTCTTTGAACGCAGTCACCACAGCTGACAGAGGTGTTTGGAGAGGTGATGTTGATGATATTCATGGCCAGGGATAACAGCACTAATTTGCATTCTGTCTGCCCCGTTGATAAGTCGGGGTTTTAGGGGGGGTGTATAATGTGCAGCCTGTTTTTTTTTTTTTTTTACTGCAGCAGCTCATTGGGTAAATTCTATTTTTTAAGCCAAACTGAGCAAATTGCTTCTTAGTGTGGATGGAGACAGAAAGTAATACATTAGTTGCACAAGAGCTTCAATTTGCAGCACTTGAGGCAGGAATTCACTGTCAGGGCTTCAGCACAGTGTGAAAGTGTGAGCAGGAGAGTTTCCATGCACAGGGTGATGCTGTGAAAATGATTTTTATTGAGATGGCCTGAAGCAGTAACCCCCTGTTTCCCAGGGCGCTGGAAAGACTGTATGACTTTGTCCTGGTCAGACAGATGTTGTCAGATAACACAAAACTTATTATGGGGGGTGGGGAAGAAAAAACAGAATAGGGTGGTTGGGAGGGGGGTTTAGTAACTGAGGAAGAGGGAGAGTTAAATAAAGACATAGTGAGAATGCAAAGCAGATGTGGTGTAATGATTCAGAGGGATACTGTGCAGCATTATGGGAGGAGGACGTATAACAAGATAAATGCATTGGCTACACACACACACACACACACACACACACACACACACACACACACTAGCAACAACCCTTTCTAACCCCAAGAACCTTTTACCACCGAGCAGGCTTTTTCTTCTAAACTGCTGTCAGAGCAGAGATAGGCCTTCCCAAAAATAAGACTGCACTCACCAGGCAGGCTGCACCAGGTTGGCCAAGAGAGAGATCCTGGAAAATGTTACATAAGAGAATGATGTCTGCAGGGATTTGATGTCTGAATGGTTTATCAATCAGCATGAGCAAGTGTCAGGTAAACTTGATATGCTGTTGCTCATGCAAATGTTCCTTTAATGGGGTTACTGAAAATGTTTTCATCTCCCTTTGTCAATTCCTTATATTTTTATCATAATTTAAACAAGTACATTACACGTTCAACACTTCAACACCCTGCCTGGTCAGAGAAAAAATATGCTGCTAATAGGCTTCATGCGAGTCAGATTTGTGACAGTTTGTGGGTGTTTCGTTAGTCTCCAGAAGAGGGCAGCACAGCTGCAGTAAAACCAGCAAGAGCTCCTGGTAGTCATGGCAATTCCTTTCCAAAAGTGCTGGAGTGAGAACAGGACATTTCATTACTGAGGCACTGCTGAATTTTCAGTTCCATCAACTTGCCATGCTGCGGTCATGTCTGTGCTACGGACTCTGAATTCACTATTGCTTATTTATAACTGCTGATACTTTATGGATCTCATTATTTTTAAAGCATCAGCAGCCATTTCTGTCTATTATTCTTAACTGAGAACTGTATACAGCTGATAGTCAACAGGTGATTATTTAGTTTCACAAGTTGACAAAATTACGCACAGTCTGCTATCACTGTTTTAATTATGGACGGATTAGAGAACCCATGCTCTTCATCTTCCTGGATTGCAATGCACCATGATGACATTATTAAGCCTCACACCTATGTGATCCACTCAAGTTATAAATAGTCATTAACTTCATATATGCCCTGACATTAATACAGAGCTGGGAGTAATTGACTGAAGAAAAATACCACGCCATACCTTTCATTAAAAAAAAAAGGCCACCATAAGTTCACCCATAAATCCAAGAGACATTTCCATGCTGCACCTTTCTCAGATCGATTTCTTATTTTTGTAGAAGTTGGTGAACTGATTGGAATTGGAACAGCCTGTGTTGAACCCAAGGAGGAGCCTTTGCGGCATACAATGCATTTGTCACTGAGCCATGCATTTTGCAAGGCCACCTCTCACCATGATTTCTTTTGAATCCTTTAAATTCAATATGCTCCCACGGAAGCGGTGACCTTGATCTTTACCTTAACTGATAATAAATGTGCCGGTGCCTCTGGTGGTGGTGTGGCAGCAGCTCAGGCAACACAGAGCAGATTTTCTTCGAAAGGACCAGATTTGTGGTGTTTTGCAGAGCCATGACACCCATACGTCCGGGAACACATTGCTTCAAAGCATGCACATCAGATTAGATTCAGTCTGAGCTAGCTGCCCGTGTAGGTGCCCTGTGGGTTTTGTGGGCATTGTGGATTTTTACCACTGAACACGGCCTCATAAGAAAACAATACTAACTTTTTGTGTCACCAAGGGAGAGTGAGCAGTGCTGCAGAGATTGCTTTCATTTGGTAAGCTACAGCTATGCACCATGATCACAGCGCTACACTTCCACTGGGTGACTCAGTGGGAGACGCAAGGCCTGCGCACGCTGCCTACACAGGTGCTTTTCAAAGTGGGGTCAAGGGGCTGCCTTAGGGTGCTGTGGTGGGATTTCATTTTTCTCTCCTGCAGCTCCACACAGCGAAACAGAGAGCATGAAACACAGGGTTTTGATCAAGCATTTTTACTTTATTCACCCACTGCAAGGTAGTGTTGAGCTGAGGTGAATTCAAAAATGCTCTTAATGTGAAGCCTTTAATGTGGACAGTATTTGTCGCACCGTCCTTTAAGAACAAACCCATTTATAGCACAATGGAGCATTCAAGGACTCCTGGTCTCGTTGCTGGCTGTTACGCCCACTCTCAGAGGCTTTTTAAATATGTGTTTGTTGTAAGGGAAGCAGGAATTATGAGGCTGCAGAGAATCAACTCTACTAGATTGTCTTCCACCATTGTTTCAGATTTATTCCTCTCGTCTCCGCCTCTCCCGTCGTCGACATTTCCCAGAGAAAAAGACTTGACAGAGACCGACTTTGTACTAGTCGACTAAACGAAAATAGCACCCTAATTAGTCAACCTTTCCATTTTGTGTGACACTTGCCTTTGTGGGGGGCTTAGCCCGATTTGGTCTTTTTAGATTATTAATTGATGCAACACTGTGAATAACCTCTCCTGGATCCTGTTGCAGGTTTGAGTTTTCTTGTTTTGCTGAGGAAAAGGCATAATGGGTATGATTCACTGCAGTGCCATGTTCAGAACAAAAGATTAAGAGAAAGTTCAAACAAATGTCATGGTAAGAGACAGATGTGGAGACAGACTTGGAGACAAAGGCAGAGATATGTAGCCTGTGTTGGATGTACACAAATAAAGCTCCCACCCACCCACACACCCACACAGTCACCCCCCACTCCAGTCTCTCACACATGCACACAGACATGGGCCTGTGCATGCAGACACACACGGCAGATTAGGAAAGCTGATTTATTGGTTGTAAAATGTTAATATAGCTATAAGCCGCGCTCATGAATTGTTAATTAAGGCCTTGACATACTCGTCACCTAAAATGTTAATGAGGTGAGATTGCGTCGGGGCCGAGAGGTCTCTGTGAGCTACTGAGCAAATACAACAGATGAGCTGAATCCACAAGACCCCCACACGCTATAATAGGAAACGCTGAAGGCACCTGAGATGGGTCGTGCCCATTCGGCCATAGAGTAATTAAATTATTGAATGGCGGTGTGTGAATTAAGCGTTGATAGTGAAAGGAAATGATAAATATAATCTATTTTTACCCTCACCCAGCCTGTGTCTGTACTGTTTTCTACAAACTGACTCATCAGGGGTGGAGGGAGTATTTAGTATTAATTGAGCAGATAGAAATGAGCAGGTTTACAATAACAATGCATGATAATAATTCTTGTGTCCACCACAGACAGTCCACACTGATGGTGTCTCTTGGTGATATCAGGCAATTCCTGAGGATCCGTCCGTCCATTTCCTGTACCTGTTGTGTCCCGTGGAGCGCAGCGTTGTTGAACATGAACGCCAAATGATCAGATTCCCCCCTACTGGTGCACTTTCATACAAAGGGTAATTTTAATTCAGAAATTTAATGGGGAAAAACAAGATCTAGCAAATAGTTTTAACAATGTGTGGCAGTGAATCACAGGTCAATCAGATTTACTTGTGTTAGGCCTTGCTATTTAATAATACTGTCCATAAAAATGTGATTCAACAAAAAGCAATGTGCCCTGTATATAACTAATGAAGCGGTTATCTGTCAAATTTTAGTTGTGAACTGAAAAGTACAAATAAAATGTTACTGTTGGCTTGCCAGGATTTAGATGACCAAGCCTCTACCTATATTAAGGGATTATACAAGGTTAGGTCAGCAGATAGTTCTGTCTGTTCCTAGGGTGCCCAAACTCTGGAATGACTTACCTGCCGAAAAGATTTGCAAAATTCAAATCACTTGGTGTCACATGTGTGTCATTTGTAGTTTATTTTTCTTTGTAATTTCTGATTTAATGTTGTTTTTAATCCTTTCGTGAACACCTTTGTGATATTGATAAGAAAAGAGCCACATAAATAAACATACTTCTTATTATTCTTGAATTATTCAATGAATGAATGAAGCTCTTGAGTGAATTTAAGCTGCTATTCTTACCACAGCTTCCCAACATCATGTCACAGATCACGATACTGCAAGTCTGTTCAGACAGACAAATGGAGTCGCAGTGTATCCCAAATCCACAAACTCTAATTCAATATACAAGGAAGAATTACTCAACAGACCAACCAGTCACTGGCCCTGGAGCTTAAGGTGCCGGCAGTCTTCACTGTCAAAGCCTCAATTTACTGCAGACTCACAGTGAATTTTTACTGAAAATGTAAATCAAACAGCTACGAGGAGATGTGCTGAAAACATCCCCTGTCTTATCTGCTGTTCTCCACT